GCGACTGTGCGAGTCGTGGTACCTACCTGATGAGTTACACCGTTCATAAATAATGCACTGACAAAATTGAAATCTATCGAGTCAGATCAGCGAAAGTTTTTAAGTATTATTGATGAAAGGTGTGGTTGGCAAGACCATTAGTTCTGTTAAAAATGAATTAGTTAATTTTAATAAAAATGTACAGTACTGCGATTTTGCTAAAATCTATGCCCTTACTTACTTTCGAACATAAAGCTTTAATTAACTCCCAGACATTGTTTTTGCCTTATTTAGCACAATTGTTCAACTATGGAACAGTTTGGACGAAGATTTAATTTACATTAATAATTTATATAACTTCAAAAAAAGCTTTAGGCTAATTGTCCATAACTTGACTAGCCTAACAATTTTGGAGAGATAATATATAGATCTAAGTGGAGTCATTTGGTCACACTTAATTGGGGTGTGACGAGATGACCGTGTGACGAAATGACTGGTTACCGTTTCAGCTTGGGTTTCTCGAACCTAGATTTTAGTCAATGGTTTAGAGGGCCAGGACCCTAACCCTGCTGTAACCCTCGATTTGGATAAAATAATTTAAGAGTTAGAAGGCCCATAGGCCATACCTATTGGCAGGGTCGACTCAGTTTGGTTTGGTTGTCAGGGTTAGCTGCCGGATTTTCTTCCGTGAATGCAAAAGCTACCTTCGAGGCACAAACCGAACGAAACCAATGATGACACGTTTTTTTTCAAGGCCACGAATCAGGCGATCGGTTTGAGGCAGGGGTGTATTTGTAGTGTACACTGAAGCTGCCAGAAACCGAACCATACCGGACCAATCTGATCCTCCAATGGGTATATACAGCCTTCTGAGGTGTGACCCTAACCCTTACCTCATTACCCAAATCCAGGCTGGTTTAGGGAACCCTAATTACCTGAATCCAGCAAATGTGAACAAAGGTTCCAGACTCGAAGATTGCCGGATCACTATCTCATGTAACTGCTTTTGAGTTTGAAGTTCAATACAAGCGCACTAAATACTTTATCAAAATAAAGAACTTGTGTAGTGGCAGGTTTGTAGTCAAAGTCTTCTATCCTCTATTTCAGACATCTGTTGTCCTTATCTCTCATCTTTCTTTTGTTTTTATGACACTCCAGTAACACATCTTATATTCAGCACTTAAGACCTGATTGTGTTGCGAATGCCGTAAAACTCTACTAAAACTTTTAAAAAAATAAAGAACACTTTATAGTCTCTCGAATCTAGGCTGGAAAAGTTTTGAATGAGGACCACTATGATAACTAAAATTTCCATTTCATTAAACAACGGCGAATTTAGTGGGCTATGGTTTTTGTTGAGTGTCTCTTGTAATCTTTGACTTTGTACTCCATCATCTGGATACTTGTGAACAGCCTTGCCCACTGGAAAGAGGGCCATGGTTGGAGGTTTAAGTTTTAGGACAGGGTCAGATTCTAGTGCTATATGAGGCTATTAACAGGAGTTTATTGTGCATAGAGGCCTGCGATGAATCTCATTCATCTTTAATTGGCATGTGTATCCAGTGGCTCAAAATAGGATACTTCATTCCATGTGAAAAATAAAAATCAAAGACCTTGGTTTAAGTATAAAATAAGATTCAGGCTCTGTGGCAAAGTAGGTCTAAACACACAGCTTTGCACACTTTTTTGCATACCAAGTAAAGTGTTTCTTTACTTTCGTGTAATTTCCATATATGCTCTTTTCCCCTTTTTTTTATAAACACTTCATTTTTCGGGAGCCCACTGACAATTTATTTTGCAACTAAGCAAACCATTGCAAAGGTCAAGGCCAACATGCATTATACTGGAGAGCCTTTTCAAAACAGCTGGATGCCTGGTTCAGATGTACTTGTTTGAGAAAGTAGGCCAAAATTCAAAAGGTCTGACAGAGGGAAATTTTCGCTAACTGAGTAACATATCCATGAATTGCATCAGAGAATATAACATTATTTAAGTTCAACTTGTTGTCTGCTCCAGCAAATCTTATTTTCCGAGTTTGGTGTCCAGCTGGTGATGTATGTCACTCTGCCATGTGATGAGCCATGTTTGAGATGTTCAAAATGTTAATGATTTGAATAGATTGGCCTGCTGCACTTTTTAAATAACATGACTTTAGAATGGTATTTTATAGTTTTTGATTTTAAATATTTGTATCAAAATACACCACCAGTGTTCTGGTTTTGTTTCCTTATAAATGCTTTTTAAATTTTACAAATATATATTATATATATATATATATATACATTTAATACTTTTTAGAATACAGAATGGGACAGGTCATGAATAATGTTATATTTTTCTTTTAATTTTTATAAGTTCACAATTTGTCCTTAATGTGGAGAAAATTACTTGTCTATCTACAGCTGACTTTGCTGTTGCAGAATTTTGTACACATTATTGTACTATAAAGTGTTGACTGATCATGGCTTTGAGAGTGTTTGGCCAGCAGGCTGTAAAAGGCCTGAAGCACATGCATAAGCAGGTAAGATTTAAAATATGTTCTGATTTTTAACAACATGTACTGAAAAATGCTCTTTTTGCAAATTGATAATCATAATGTTAATTGTTTATATTTTTAGACAGATGTCACTACTGTACTTCATGGATAGAATGCAAGTAGGCTTACAAGTTAAGATGAAAAATGATCAGTTTCTTATTTTTTCAGGATTATACTGTTTGTTTTTTTATCTCATTTTTGCAAAACTCTCATGCGATATTAGAATAAAACATGCATCAGGCTGGATTGCTTTTGAAAGTATAGAAAAAATAGTGCTGTGTTACACTGTCACTTTTTGTCTATGTAACTTACACTTTTACTGATTCACTGCTGAGGAAAACTTAAAATCCAATTTCAACTCATTGAAAGTGTTTCTGCAGCCTTGTTTAGCAGTGGTGAACCCAGCGGAGTGCCTAATGCTAGTGTTCACACTGTTCTACACATACTCACAACTGCACTCAATGTTGTAGCGGTGTCTGTGGTGTAGCGGTTAGATGCTTTGCCAATATACATAGAAGAAGTAACTTCAGTTCACATATATATGGAGAGAATTTTTATTAAGTATTCTCTGTTTTTCTGCTGGAATATGTTGTATCTCTCTAATTATAAGCCTGGGTTGGCCCTGACAGACAGGGCAGAAGCAGCATCTCCTAAATGATCAGAATTGTGTCAATTGGGGCATAAAACTTCTACAGTAAAACATTTTGTTTTACTCAGTCTTGTACTAGATTCAAGCCTGCCCAACACACCTGTGGTGATGAGATTACTGTATTTATTGTTGGCAGCCTATGAGTGGAAACTTAGTGTTAAAGAATTTTCTTCAATATCAGTATGAATCTCTTTTAGGGAGTTTTTATCTTTCCTTTGTATTCTGTACTTTTATTTCTTGAAGACTTCTATGAAACCTTGGCAAGAATGTTAATTAACATAAATTTGAAAAATCTAAATAAATGTTCAACAGAGCTTGATGTCGAGCAAAGATGTCAGTTTGATGTATCAGAGCACAGCTGCTGCTTCTACAAAAAGCCTGGACATTTCTGGGATACTTCCTCCCATCCCAACACCTTTTAATGAAGATGGAAGTTTTGCTTTTGACAAACTCAAGTTCAACATGGATAAGTGGAATAAAATTCCCTTCAAAGGTACCTTTTCAAAGACTGTAGGAATTGCTTTTTTGGTGTTTTTTTGTTGTTTTTTTTGTTCTTGTCTCAAGGTTCCTATGGATTTTGTCACAAATGATGTTTTAGTAGGTTTTAAAGGGTGTCTAAGAAAAGAGAGAAAAAGTGAACACACTTGTAATAATTTGGTCATCTCTACACTAATTTTAACATGAATTGTAACAAATAAAATTCAACATGCATGAGGACATCACTCTTGTTAATATAAAGAAAATCGATCTTGTTCAACCGGAATTGGATTAAATGCAAAATTTTACTTCTTAAGAGCAGAATACTGAATTGATACTAAAATTAAAGCGGGAGTAGATCATTTCTTTCCTTACAAGCACCAATATGTCACAACAGTCATCTCAGATAGATCTAGACATGCCAAGAAAGTTTTGGAGAAGTTTTGGGAGAATGTTGTAAAGGCCTGGTTCTAGTTGGATGGGGCCACAACGCACACTTCAAGAGTGGCCTTGATATGGTTGCAAGAAAGGATTGGGCAATGCCTTATAAACCCAAAATTTACAAATGATTGGTTGTCACATTCCCATTACTTGACTCCCTTCAAACCTTTGGGGAATTTTGGCAAAGTTTAGGAAATAACCCACAAACAATCGAACCGCCAACAATCAATGTTGAACAGAACGTGCAAAGAATTAACCCAGAAACCTGCCACAGGGTTTGTTCAAATTTCCAGTGACGTATTGGTGCTTGTAAGGAAAGAAACGATCTACTCCCGCTTTAATTTTAGTATCAATTCAGTATTAGTTTGTTCTTCAACGCACAAATAGGGACTATTTAAAATAGAACAATGGTAATTTTTAAGAAGTTTCAAAGTTTTGCGTTTCTGTCAATTTTGGTTGAAATTTGAAAAATTTGATATTTTGGGAAGAAACGAATTAATTTCGTTCAAACGGACTTATTTGTAATATCCTCCTAGTTGAATTTTTTTTAAATGCGAAGTTTTATTAAATTTGGTTCAAAGATAATCGAGCTCTTGCTGTTTAAATGGGTCCTCTTTCATAAGACACCGGGTATGTGGAATGAATTGCTTTGTCTACTTTTTCTTTGTTTAACATTCCTGATATATCATAATGTGATGTTAAGATATAATGCATATCTTGGAAGACCAGCTCAATGATGTAGGAACAGAAACAATGATCATGGATGCCTTCTTTCTGATTTTCTTAAACAAAAAAGGGAAATGTCTTTTCAATGAAATCCCCAACTTTTCTTGCCAGAGTGTAAGTTGGAACTGTTCTGTTAAAAATATTATTTTGGTAATGAATAACAAATAACTTTAATTGTATATTAAACCTATCCTGTCTGTAAAATAAATGTTACAACTTAGTCTGTTTTTTTAAAACTCCTCAAAATGTTTTTCTGCTTTCGTTGGGTCTTTTCTTATTGTATTGGCATGGGGGACAACTTTGAGTTTTAATGTAAAGTGTAAGATTGTGGGTTTTTATACTTACCCTCTTACGGAATATGTCACTCTTTCACAACACTTCATCTTGAATATTTCATACTTGCAGAAAGAATGATTAGAAGACCTAATGTTTTCATTGTGTGACTGGAGACCTGTGACTCTTGTTTTGATTTATGTACAAGTAAATTGTCTTTGTTTTTGTAGGGTATGTTGTTCTAGGATCCAATGGAGAATGTGGTCTACTAAATTGGGATGAGCGTGTCCAGTTATTGGAAGAGACCAAGAAGCTTGCTGATCCAAGTAAACTCGTCGTTGGTGGATCTGGCTGTGATTGTAAGCATTGGATTAAGCTATATTTCAGATCTTAAGATACTTATTTTTGGTTAGCATTTCTGTCTCTGAATGGTATTATCTGGCGATTAATATAGCTATTCTGTTTTTCAACAATCTTTTGAAAGCTATTCAGTATTTTTCACAGTTTGAGTGTTTTTTATCTTTAACTTTTATTGTGACTGATATGTTGTTTAATAAATTCTTTGTGTTCAGGAGTTTTAAATTACGTTTTTTTTGTTTTTGTTTTGCATGACAGTGACAGCTCAACGGTTAAGGCTTTCTCAATGCCTTTGCTTTTGTTGTCTCTAATGTTGTCTTTTCTTGTCAAAGCATAATAATATTTATTGATATACCATACATCTTATGTCTAGCAGAAACTGACAGACGTCAGCAAAAAATATAAATCTCTGATTTATGTGTCATGGATAGGGGACTAAACCATTGGATCTCAAAGACACAATATTCGAAGGCTAGCAAAGAACTGATTTTTCTCCTTCATTGGGTCTTGCTTTACATACTTTTCTCCATGCCGTATTTCTCAGCAATTTGTGTGGCTGCAGGCTTCTGTTAACAGCAAGGTGTGTGCTCTGTGGTGTACTTTCACGTTGTCATTGTTGTAAGAATTGTTAGTAGTTACAAAAATTTTCGCTTACTATGTCAAGCAAAGTCACATGGAGTTAGTTCACTGTTCTTATTTATTGTGACCATGACGACGAGTCTTTCAAATTGAAATAGAGCATCTGTATGTCTGATAGTTTATTTCTCTAACGTTAATGTACATTCCCATATTTCAGCAACAAGAGACACAGTTCTGATGACAAAAAGGATGGCCAATGCAGGGGCAGATGCTGTCTTGGTTGTGAACCCATCCTTCTATAAAGCCAGCATGACCTATCAGGCTTTGATGGCACATTATACAAAGGTACCCGTAAAATAGATCCTGTGTACAATGGGTTATCTGGAAGACAAAAAAACAGAATTGAGCTTTTGCACAGAACATTTGACTCCCTCTCTTTATTCTTGCTTAATTATTGAGTGGAATGTTGTGATAATAACTATGATGATATCTAAACTCTTTCAGTCAAAGATTTTTAAAGCTTCGAAAGTCGGGATGTTGTAAAAGGGTTCAATCAATGTTTTAGAGATCAGGAAGGACAGTGTGTTCTGGGAGCTCACTGCTTAAGCATTAGGTATTAATATAAACCTGAATCATATGGTTGAATGGATGATTCTGAAATTGGAATACATCTCAATTAGATATTGTCAATGGTACATCAAATTTCTTTGTTTCTTAGTAATGCCATATTACAATTTTGCTTTTGAAAGAGTGATTTGATAAAAACTTTCATGAGAAATGTCTAAATCATGGGTCAAATTTTGGGTATTCTAGTCAGATTCAGGTAAAATTTGTTATCATGGACGGGCTTCTAAGGTCCGCTTTGAAGCTTCTAGGGCTATAATTGTGACTTAGACTGTGTTGTGAAGGCTAGAGTTGTCAGTGATGATGTTGTCGACAAAAGGACACATTTTGGAGGACTTTGTAATGCAAGTAATTCTGAAAACAGAAGTATTTTATGTATGCAGATTTCTCTTTTCTTCTGGGAATTTAGGTGGTGGCAAGTATGAGATATGCTGTTTTGAAAGGGTGAGAGAGTCGAAAGGTTGAAGCATGAGTCAAGCTGGTGTCACACATTCACATGGGTGAAGGATTCCTTTTTTGTTCTCTAGCCAATTGTGTGTGTGTGTGTGTGTGTGTGTGTGTGTGTGTCTGTCTGTCTGTCTGTCTGTCTGTCTGTCTGTCTGTCTGTCTGTCTGTCTATCTGTCTGTCCGTCCGTCCGTCCGTCCCTCCTTCCCTCCCTCCCTCCCTCCCTCCCTCCCTCTCTCTCTCTCTCTCTCTCTCTCTCTCTCTCTCTCTCTCTCTCTCTCTTTCCCTCTCTCTTAGTGCTGTATGACCATAATCGTTTTGGCTTTCCTCTGCTCTGATCAAACTCATTGTGATTTTTATAGCTGAAACTGAACACTGTTAATCTAAAAACAATGGTAAAATATAGTTTCCATTTTTTTCTTCTTTTTTGTCTTGGTACGGAAACTATCGAATAGCCAAAATCCTCCTATATGTATTTCTAAACAGAAAAGAATTAAAAAGGTTTTGTTGCCAGATCTTCAGAAGCAACTCTCAAATAATGTAAATCATCAAATCTTATGTGCTTCAAGATAGTGAAACTGAAGAAAGAGACATGAGAACTCAGGTGTGTTGGTAGAAGGCCAGAGAAAGACCTGCCAGTGTACTGTTTGCCTACGTTTACCACACATATTTATAGCCTAGGTCTAAGCTCTGTGAATGCTTAGTGATGCAAGGATAACAAATGTACGTCTGTCGCACTACCTTTGATTGGTCATGGTCTATTGTCTCTGGGAAGCTAGTTCACACCATACACATGTGCACGTGATGGCACATGGTGTGTTTCATGACATCAGTGGCATTGTTGAGCTTTCTCCATTTTCTGGCTTACCACAGAGCACAGAACAGTGTGTTGGTCTACACTGTCATCTGTTCTAGGTCATGACTGCTTGACAGATTAAACATGCTGACAGGTGTCTCATGTCAACAGCTGCTGCTCAAATTGCAGTTTCTGAAATAGTTGAAAAAAAAAACTTTGAAAAAGGGATATTTGCCATGAGCATGGCATTCCCATCTTTACACTGTCAACAGTCATCGCTTTTTGAGAAGTTTCTAAACTGAAAACACGGCTCACGGCGTCACTTTTCGCCCGATTCTGTTACTTTTAGTTAGCGTGACTCAGCAGCCCGCTGGAGCTCCCGGGCTCGGGGTCACGGGGTTAATGAGCCCTGAAGCGACTTTGCCGGTGTCGGTTAGGAAGTTCGCATTTTTGACTCTGTTTAAAACGATATAACTTCTTCCCTGTCCCACTCAGAAAACCATTACATGGATGTACTAAAAGCTCAATGTCTTGAGATTTTTTCTGCGTTAGAATGGTTAATTTCTGTGCCTTAGTTTTTGTTCTAGACAAGTGTTTGTAGAGTACCCAATTTGTCCTATTTTAGTTACAAACTTATGAATAAATGATTGTTTATTTTAAAAAGGCACGACAGATCTCTCCAAAATCTGTGTTAAACTGACTACGAATATCATGTATTTTACCATGAGAAATCTTAAATCTGCGCTATTTGTAATAGTAATAGTCAAGTTATAAGAGAAAAAAGATGCGCATCTGCATTTTTTAGCTAAAGACGATCAGCGTTAGCTCTTATTTTACTATTAAACAAGAGAAAGTTACTCTGCGTTTGCTCATGAATCATGCTGTGTCTGTGGCCTGCATACAACTAAAAAGATATAATATAAGCGATTAAAACTCCCCACAAAACCGTGTAAATACATGCGTAGAGATAAACTTCTTGTATGGAATAAATGACAGCTAACACATTCATTCTTAGTTTTTGTGTCGGTAATATGCGGGGACACAACTATGAATGTAAAAAAATCAGTCACATTGTCAGTTATTGCAAATGGTCATTATACAAACGAAAAATAAAGCTGGAAAAGTCTGGTGCTGATTCAGTGTCCCTGGAAAGCTAGAAATGTTCTTATAACCCAATTAGGAGAAGTCATCCCTATTATTCAGTTTACTTACAAAACCTAGACTTAGCGTTTTAAGGAAAGTAAGGAATTTCTGGAGTGTAACAAATACTGTTCGTGTGTTACATTGAAGATGTATTCTGGCTCTAAAATTGATTTGTACTTTTCATAGAGAAACTTCATAGTAACTTTTATAAACTTTCGAGAAAATATGCGAATATTCACGATTATATTAAACACATGAAGTTGTATTTGGAGGAATTACTTCATAGCGAATTGTGTGCCCGATGAATAAAGTTGCAAAATTACAGCTTTCTATTATATGCGCAGATACCATCTTTTCAGAGTATCTGCACCAATGCTATGTCGTTCATGTTCCAAAAGTTCGACAGATTTTGTCGAGGCCTTTTTTTTATATTGATTTTTTTTCATTCACGCTAGTCCAAAAAAAATTACAATTTAGCATTGCCGACTTCAGCGCGTCTAACGAAATAACCAGACAAGTTACAACGTCCGTTCTTTTTTTAGTCTCAAGAGCAGAAACGTATGCTTTGGGTGCACTAAATGAGAATTACCATAAAAACAAGGATACACCTAAAATTGTACGTTGAAAAGTACCAAAAATCAAGTCGGCCCAGACAGAGCGGCGACAGGGAGCTGACTTCAGTGACCCCGACGTGATAAGGCGCCCGGCGGGGAACCCCCCGCGGCAACTAAAATTCCACCGCCGGTGCGCTGTGGGCTATACGGGAAAAAAAATCGGTGATCCTGCAAATTTTTATATTTGCATACTTCGCTGTAATGTAATAATTATGCCATGATTCCACAGGTGGCTGATGAAAGTCCTGTGCCTGTTATCCTGTATAACGTGCCCAGCAATACTGGTATGGACATTCCTCCAGAAGTGATCATCTCTCTCTCGCAGCATCCAAACATTATTGGCTTGAAGGACAGTGGTGGTGATGTAAGTATTTTTTTTTTGTAAGGAAAACTTAGTGGAATCAGGGGCGTGTAAATTTTTGGGCATGTGGAGTTATTGCTTTCATCTTAAAGCTTGTTCATTCGTCTTACTTTTGATGAAGAAAATACCCATCTATCTTGAATAGAAGTCGAGATATTTGAGTTTGAAGAAGGTGAGGTTGTCTGGTTTCAGAGGTAAAATTAGCCCGAAAATGGGTGCCAAAGTTTGGTAACTTCCATTGTTTGAGAGTCCATGGAAACTGAAAATTTTAATTTTTTGTGCCTTTACTTCAATCAACGTTTTTCAAATCCAAACTGAAGTAATTTTTTTAATTGGCAGGTCTTGCCCTCACAAGAAGAGTGAAGCCTGCCTCCTAAATGTTTTAAATTATTTCGTTGAGTCAAAAAACAAAATTCGATAAAAACTGCCAAAGCGGTGGAAAAATGCTGTTTTCTTTGGTTTCATTATTTTGGCAAGCATGTGATTTCACCATGCTGCCTCACTTATATATATATATATATATATATAAATATATATATATATATATATATATATATATATATATATATATATATATATATATATATATATCAAACTGTCAATTTTATATCCTATATTTGTTACCATGGTATATTGATGTAGTCTTTCAACTCTTCAGTTTTAAGTGTAATATCAAAATCGCTCTAATTTATTTACTAAAGCACATGATGTTGGCAGTTAAGTTATCACAATAATTATAAGAACTGGAGCAATTATATTTCTGGTACTTATGAATTCTATATGAGTAGTCACTAAGGAGTATTGAACCGAGCAATGGTCTTTTCTTTTTTTAACAATGTTTCACAATTGCTTAATTACAACAGCACATTGTATTTCCAGATTACAAGAATAACAACCCTGTGCTTCCAAACTGCGTCCTCTGGCTTCCAAATATTGGCTGGATCTGCAGGGTTCTTACTGGCAGCTTACAATGTTGGTGAGTGCAAGTGCTTGTTTTATCACAATTATCCCCCCCCCCCAATGTTGGTGAGTGCAAGTGCTTGTTTTATCACAATTATCCCCCCCCCCCCCCACACACACCACACGCACACCTACTTCCTTCTATTTATTGCTTCTAACCATTGTATTTGTGAAAAAGACATCTAGATAGTCTTTTTTAAAAAGTAGGTGTGTTTAATGCCCCCACTGAAATAATTTAGAACATTTAGGAGGCAGGCTTCACTCTTCTTGTTAGGGCAAACCAGGGGTGAGAGGGACGCAGAGACAGAAACATTGTAATGCTCAAAAAAATATTCATTCCACACAGGAATTAAACTTGGCTGTATGGGTGCAATAGCGAAGTGCCTAACTGCTACGCCATAAATGCTGGTATCCTGACAGTTAGAATAAAGAAGTGGTACAAATGTAGCAAGAGTGCTCCTTGAGTTTATTATCACACTGATAAAAAGGGCCCACTGGAAAAGAAAACTGAGAAAAATAATCGTGTCCATTTCCCACCTTGTTTCCAGAATGAATGTGGGATACTGTGAGGGTATACATTTTTATGAGAATCATTTTATGAAAGTTCATTTTAAGTTAAGTCCAGTTTAATATTTTTCCAAAGTAGGGAAATGTGGTAGATAAAAATAAGATCAAGTTTTTTCCTGATGAATGCTGTATTTACCCTCTGGTCTATTTCACAGGCTGTGTTGGTGGGGTTTGTGGTTTGGCAAACATCATAGGTGAGGACTTGTGCCGCTTGATGCAGTTGGCCAAAACTTCTGATCTTAAGACAGCCATGGACTTGCAACTGAGGCTTGTTGGCCCCAATACTTGTGTAAGTTTGAGAAATTTTGTGGAGGCAATGAATATGTTTTATTTGATCAAAATTTTCAAGGGATTGGTCTGAATGACAAAAATCCAGATATTTGATAGCTTTTAAAAAAACAATCCCAGGACCCTGAGACCTACTGTCTTGGCTACCTTCTTTTTATGAAAGAGAAATATGCTTTTGAAAGCAGAGTCGAATTTTACAAAGTTGACCCAAAGTTGTTTCTACTGTTAATCATTTCTTCATCTATGTTGTGCAGTATAGTAGGCACATACAAAAATCAGCGGGACACAGAAGTCTTTTCTTTATGTACGAATTTCACTTTGTTCGTGTTTTAAATATGAAGAATATACATCTACTAAAATAAGGGAACTCAAAATCTGTTTCCTAGTGTTTGTTTCGCTATCTGCACGTTCACTATGTGCATGCTAGACTGGTGCCAAAGTTTGCATCTCTTTTTAGAAGATAACACATGTTCTTCAGACTTCAAATTTATAATTCAACCGAAAGTAGCATTCGTTATTCCTTTGAACATAGCAGAGCTAAATTTTCATGATTTTGAACTTTAAAATTTATAAAATTGTAGGTTTAGATTGCTATGTATTGTTGTAAAATACTCTAGAATTGAGTAATTGTTTCCTAAATCCAGTTAAACAATTATTTGCTCAATATAAGTTCACAGCTGCATGAATAAAAGCAAACGGGAATCATCAAAGCGTCCTGTCTCACTGCTGAAGCTTTGAAATGTTATAAAATACAAAAACTTTTTGTTTTCAAGGAATAACATGTCAAATGTAGGCTTATATTAAGTGTTGAGACTTTAGATACAACAATTTGGTGTATTTTCAATTGATCTAGCCTTTTGCACTTTTAATTATAAAGACACTTTTTTGAGGAAAGAATAGAACGGCTAAGACTGTGTGTATTTATGTTGTGTATGTGTGTGTTTGTGTGTGTGTTTGTGTGTGTGTGTGCTAGTTGTTATAACTTTTGATTGGGCTGTAGCATTTCTGAAAGTGACATTTTCATGGATCTTGTCATTAGAAAATGGAAGCAAGTCAGTTAATTCAGCAGATAGAAATGGGTTTACTGTGCAGGATGAGACCAGTTTGTTTTACACAGAGTGACAATGACACTATAATGTTTTGACTTTGCAATTGTCAACAGTTGGTTCTAATTTGTAACTCAGGAAAAACATTTTGTAGAGAAGACTCAGTTTATATTATCTATGTAGATTTCTCAAGTTAAATGTGTCATTGAATAAGTTAGATTCAAGAACATTTTAAAAGTAAGAATACTAGCATCTGTGGTGTAGTGGGTAGGCACTGTGCTGTGGCTTAAAGGAGACCCAAGTTCAATTCCTGAGTGAGGATACATTTTTATTGAGTATCTCAGTCTTTCTGCTGGGATGTATCCCTCTCAGCCTGGGTTGGTTCTGACAGGCAGAGTCAGAAGGCCGCCCCCTAAATGATTAAAATTTTGTCAATGGGGGTGTAAAAACATAAACGTTAAAACTTTTTATGGCTACTTTTAGTGCATCATACTCTATTAAAGCAAAGTTTCTGACAATTGCAGGTTACAAGAAAATATGGTGTGCCTGGCCTGAAAGCTGCCCTGGAGTGGTTTGGTTACTACGGTGGACCGACTCGCCTGCCTCTGGTGCCACTCACAGCTGATGAAACTGAATTTATGAGGAAAGCCTTCCAAAAATCTGGTTATCTTGACTAAATCTGACCATGAAAGTTAATAGCAGTGAGCTAGGACTCATGCAAGTGTTTTTGTACCTTTGTTTATGGAATATTGTTGATTGTTATTTTTTTCCTGCTAGTCAGGGTTTTGGAAACAAAATTGAGCATCATATTGATTGAGATTATATATATCATGGGCATTTGAAAAAGAAAATGTCAGTATGTTCCTTGCTTGGGTTCCTGCTTTAGAATGAATGACACCTGGGTACCATGACGTCATCTGAAATGTTGTCCCTCCTTCTGGGATTTACTTTGGTATTTTAAAAAAATGAAAATGCCTATGGTATATAAACAGTTTTACACGTTATAAAAAATATTCTTGTTGCGTGCCTTTAAAGGGAATCGGGCCAGTAAAATAAAGTGCACATATAAAGAAGAACATTGTTTTACCTCCCTACCTCCGCAAGCCTTGCTGTTGGAACCAATGTGCTGGTGAAGTGTGGCAGCGGTTCAGGCACATTCCTTGACGATGACTTCTACTTCGAAGTACTTTTTGGTAATTGCCAAAAACAGGTCTCTCTTAGGGGTAGTTCATTTATTTTATTAGATCAAGAACTGTCGAAATAGGTTCATTTGTTTTGATTTCATGGCCAAAATATTGATGTATATATATGTCAATTTTAGATTTTGTGCCTAAAGAGGGCCCGGCGTAGTGGGTTTACCCCCCTCGGAGATAAAGAGTTAATATCTTGAGTATCTGTCACAATGTACTAGAGCTGCCAACCTGGGCTATTGTGATGTGCCCGCTATCAATGCATCTATCTTTTAACTTTTTGTTTATCATGTGTTCTGTAAAATCCGTGGCTGACAGAACAATAGACTGAACTGAGGTTCAGAAAATGTAAAGAGTAGTGCCATATTTACTTGTGAGAAATCATTAAAGTGGAAGGGAAGGCTCAGGATACTTGTCTGTTCATCCTGGCTGAAAAATTGTGATAAAGTAATATTGTTATGCAAATGAGAGCATTCCTTTGGTTATAGCCATTTTCTTTTTGTTGGTAGTAGGCTATATCTCGTGTAAATGGATGTCCTTACTCTACATTAAGTAATCTGCTGATGTTGAAGCTGGTGTTTAGCTTAAACAATATGTTTTAGTATGTACGTACATATACATGATGTCAGTTTCTTGAACATTTCCTTGTAGCTTTGGTTATGGGGGGTCATCAGAGATCATCTGTCTTTCATTGTTGTCACTAACATGTTTTACCAAAGTGCTGTAATAATGGTCTTGGTCAGACTTAGGCCAGTACCAAACTGACTCGTCAAGGTAAACTTTAAATAATGGCATACCACCACATCATGATATAAATGTACCAATGCATTTCCCAGAGAGAAAAAAAATTCTTATGGTTGGAGTCGAGAAAAGTCAAGAAATTAGGAATTTTTTTTGAAGATTCATTAAAAACTATATATCTGACTTAGACCATTACAGAAGCACATTTAGAGTATATTTGACTTTTATCTGTTGTTGTTAAGCTCTTATCTCCCAAATGTTGTTGGGAGATGGTTGTCTTGTTATGGAGATTCCTAAATTAGCCTTTGTATTCTTTGTCTTTGCACATTGATACGGGTCTATGAGATAACTGTTTTGATATACTCTTAGGCGCTTGTTCGTCGACTGCAATGAAAGTGTAAATCATATGTATGGCATCGTGATGAAATCAGGCGCTCGTCAAAATAATGAAATAGAAGAAGCGGATTTTTCCGTCCATTGTGCAATTTTTTAATCAATTTTTTTAGTGTTGTGCTCAACACCTTGTATGCCCATTTAAAAACACATTCCTGTGTGGATTTTACTGCAAAAAGTCAATCAAAGGCACGAAAAATGTAAATTTGCAGTTTTCAAGGACTCTACAGCTTTGGCAGTCACAAAACTTTGGTGGCCATTCTCTCACTAAATTTACCTCTGACACCAGGTGACCCTTCACCTCCTGCAGTCACAATTATTTCAACTTCTATTCAAGATAGATGAGTATTTTTCGAATCAAAAGCAAGGCTTTAAGACTACACCTATAACTTAGTATGCCCGAAATTTGAGGAATGCCCGATTCCACCACATGGTGACATGTATAAAAAATCACCTAAAATGTAAGTTGTGTGTTTTTAATGAGGTTAGCCTTTATATTTTTGTGTAAACAGATTGTGTTGTTTCGAGACCTGATCATTAGTGCAGGCTTCAAACACTACAAATTTTATAGATATAAATAAATATATATAAATATATAAACAAGAATTTTATACACTTTGTTTTCTTTTCTAAAGAATACAAGGTTGTACTGTGTTTTTCATGGAAATAAGTTGCATTCACCATTTAACTGCATTATTTGAGAACATTATTGCACTGCTCAATACTTAATAAACTTCTGGGAAAATACCAAACAGTCTGTGGTAAATGGTGCTCTTTTATGGTTTTCGGACTAAATACAGTATAATCAACTTATATCGACAGCCGATGTATCGACCTTTTGACATATCGACATATTTTCCTATGATAAATTTTTCCTTCAATATCTTCACTAAACAATTTCTCTTATATCGACTTTGTTCAGCCCACTCTGCTTCATCGACATGCTTCCTGGGTACCTGGCCAAGCCCACGAATATAAATGGGGGGGAAAGCCACGCTAACGGTCAACGCATTAGTTCTTCATTAAGTCGGCATCCCCGCCAAGTAGCCTATTGGACACACCAGGCATTAGTAGGTCATGTAAGGCCTACACAGTGTAGTCTCCAACACAGTACTGTGCCTCACAGACGTGACCGTCTCGCCCGCTGGGTATCACCTTCCTACCCCCACTCCTGATCACCCACTCCCCTTTACCATCCCATTCTCAGTCTGTTGCTGGCAAGTGCCACGGTCCGTGAGTCAGTACCTCGCCTTTCCATTTTCCCCAGCAAGCGGCCGTAAATAGGCCTTACAAGGATGCTACAACAAAGTTTGCGCTGGTGTGTAGTGTGCGCCTTGCGTTGCTCAGTCTTTGGTACAGTTACTCCAACCCTCTCCCCTCTACCTCTTTGCCTGTTAGTTTCACTGTGTAGTTGTGTAAGAATCAAGGGAAGCAACCAGCTTAAAAAGCAGTGTTGTCTTTTTGCCGTGGACCTCCCCTTGTTTTTTTTCATCTTTGGCTTTATATTTTCATTTATCGACATCTTTATATATCGACATGAAATCCACTTCCCAAAGCATGTCGATATAAGCGGGTTATACTGTATGTTGTTGTGGAAACTTCTTGCAGCTACCATGAACATTATAGCTGGTCAGGTTACAGAGGTCCAGACTGGCCACTGTGGTGTTGCTGTTAGTCTTAGGTGCTTCCCATTACACGCAAAAGACCCGAGTTCATTTCCTGTGCCTGAGGAATTTTTATCAAGTACAGTAGTCTGCGCCTAAGATCCCACGGCTTAAGATCCTGCTGTTTCTAGAAAACATAATTTTTACTACACACCCCATATACTATACTAGTCACCCCTAAGATCCCGCTTTGATTCACTCTGAAGGCCTACATTCGGCTAAGATCCCACTTTTCAGGTCATAATCTATGGAACAAAAACCTGAGCAGGCACAGCTGATCAACCAAAAGTGAAAAGTGGAGACCATTGAACTGCCCGTCGCATCAGAGATCAGCCACTTTCGTTAATGTGATCACATAAGTGTTGTAAAACTCGATGAAACAGTACAATCTTTGCCACAGACGGGATCAAACTGAGGTGTGAACTGACCAATGCGTTTGTTTTCCCCAAACATCGCACTTGCATCTGAGCTCTCCACCTAAACTTACATCACATGGTGGGTGAGTAGGGCCTACAAAATCGCTTCAGGAAGGATCATTTCGAACTATGAACTCTTCTCTGACCATTGCAACAGTTGTCTCTACTCTCGAATTTGCGAGACAGACTGAATTCTAATTGGTATGGTCACAACATAATGGTACGTAACGACAAAGGTGGGAGAACTCGGTCAGAGATGGAAAGCTATACATGTCGGACAAGTAAAGGGGAGGGGCAAATGGATATATATGCGTAGATCTTGAGATTCACGATAGGATAATAGGTGAAAAAGACATGCCTCGTGCCACTGTGACGATTGGTCATCAAAGTTGAACACTCTTTGCTCGCCATATGTCATAAACCCACCCAGGGGTCACGTCAGTTCATTAAACTGTGAAAGGAGGCCATTTCGACCGATTGTGAGCTTTAACATTAACAATTAACATGGTCGCCGTAGAGACTTCCCTTGGTGCAACAGCTAAGATCCCATTTGCCTAATATCCTACATTTTCTTTGCTCCCGAGCACCAGGATCTTGGACAGAGACTACTGTATCTTGGTCTTTGTATTAGCACAATGAATCTCTCTCAGTCCAGGTTGGCCCTGACAGGGGGGGTCAAAGCCTGCCTTATAAATTATTGAAACTGTCGGTGTGAGCGTAAAAATAACATAAATTAAATCAAAACCCCAAAAATGGATATATATGTGCGTGTCATTGTTTCTAGAAATATGATTTGTACTCCACCTGTAGTGTAGAAAAGGTGAACCCGAATTACTCTTTTTGTTTTTCCTTTAAACATTGACCATTTGGCTTAAGGCAAGTTAAGGTCATCACTAACAGTGCCATCTGCTTTTTCAGAGACAGTTCAATTTCAGCAAACCAAAACAAGAATTCAAAGCTCATTCATGAGGGAAATTGTTTTATTGTGTATAGAAATTATAATGATGATACTTACGTTACAGAGTATTGTATGTATAATAAGTAAAGAAAGAGGGGGGAGTAAAAGTAGGTTTAAAAACGGTCTCCGCCATCACATGCATTATAGTCATGATACAAGAAACGGCTCATCATGGGGTGGGCATAAAGGCAGGATCAGAATCATACCTGCAAAAACCATTGTCTACACAACGCAGACCAAAGCCATGCAAATTTATAACAGTCAACATAATTTTGTGCTACAAGGGTTTATACGTTTTAACTTAAAGAGCAGACGCTGCTGTATTATCACTTTGTTTTCTGACTGTAAGGCACGAGCAGCATAAATAATTTATCATCAGCGAGCAAGTGCTACAACAAACAACATCTAACTTATGGAGAGAATTGTAACTTTCACTTCACCATTCATTTTGTTCTCAGTGCTCATTCACAGCCAAAGAGACAAACCATATACAAGAGGGTGGCTTTAAAATTCCACAGCCCACAGTTTATATAAAAGGACACAAACCTTGAAAGCTTGACTAAAATTTCAGTGTGGAAGAAAAAAATAAAACCTACAACAACAAACCCTACTAATAATAACAGATAGCACTTTTGTTAGCGCAAATTCCCACTCAGCAGCAAGCTCTATGCACTTTACAATCTATAGTATTACCCAAGAAGACCTGATTACATTCTGAAACAATAAACCTACAGACCACAAAGGACTGTTTAGTGCCTATGAATATAAAAAGAAAAGAGCATTTTCATATTCAAGCGTCGACTTCAAAAGTTACGATATGTTGGCTCTTGCAAACATGTGCACATGGAAAAGATTGTCAAGCCATAAAGTAATGGAAACAGTATTGCTGGTTAACATCAATGTACAGTGTGATCACTCCGTGAGCTTTAACAATGACTATAGTTTCAACATCACAGACCTCACTTTTGCCTCTCAAAAAAAAAAAAAAGAAGAAAAAAAAGGGAAATGAGGTAGGCTCACCAGGTGCATTTCTCTCTTCAAAATTTTTCCAAAGCATCTTTAAAGAGCATGGATCATAAACTGCTATGAGTGTACTGCATTTTAAATAGATGGTTATTTAAAAAAAGAAGTAGCATACATTGAAATGGCAAAAAAGATGATGACTGCTACTTCCTAACATATATTTTTTTTAAATGAATATTAACTTAAAACAAATATTCGAGGCAAAGTTTGTCACTTTTGTAAAGAGAATATGAGTTTTTAACACAACTCCAGACTTGAACCCCATCAAAAGTAAATATTGTTAAAAGTTCTTAGTCTGCGAACTCACAACCGTTTAGGTTACCATTTATGTCATGGTCTTCAGATCTGTTTAAATTGTAAACATTAGTCATGTAAAAAAACAACAACCTCTAAGACTGAAAAAAGATAATAGCTAATGATATTCTTAAACAGGAGAGAAAGTTTTCTTCAATCTATACCTTTAAAAAATAATTTATAATTTATAAGTATTCAAAAGACCCAAGAGGATGGAAGCCAGGGTAACACTAGTAACAGCACTGTTGTCAAGAGTATCACTTCACTTAGAGAAAACTGTGCAAGTGAGTCCACAGTAACGTGTTTTATTGCTGGATTATCTTTCTACATTGTAATTGTACTCAACTTTCACCTTTTTCGGGAGTTGGAACGCCCCAATCAAAAACAGTCTGCAAATGTTTCAAGCCTTATTTTGTGCACAAACAAAATTGGGTTTAAATCACTATCTATCGAGTGATCTGAGATATCTGCATAGAGAAAATAAAAATCAATATCGCCTTGTAAACATCCCTGAAACATTCTATGTACAGCGTTTGTAAAAGCCGTGAAAAACCACAAGCAACCCATAAGAGTATCATTTAACAGGAACCAGCTTCTTTGTGATCTCATTTGCTTAACCTTCATCAACACCTCTCTTTTCTCTTGACAGTTTCAACTATTCAAACCACACTTTGACTTACAGACATTTATATTGACAAAACAATCAAATATTATATATTTTTCTTTTTTTTACATTTTGGCACCACAGCTGATGTAGGCAATAAAGACATGGGGCAAAAAAAATAATAAAAATGGTCTACAGAGCAGTGAGCAGATGGGGAGACTAAAGTTATTGTTGTAAAGTTTCAAGCAGAATTCATTTCTTCATAACAATAAATCTAGGAAATTTTCATTCTACTTTGTATCTTCAGCTGTCTGTGCCAATAATTGCCAATCTGCGTCCGTCAGTAACAGATTTATTCTGAAAATAACTAAAGCATGAAAATCAAGTCAGCTATGGAATCTGCTTTCGGCTTTTGGAAAAAGTAACTTGCCCTGAGCTGGTAGTGCTTCAAAAAGAACTGACTTCCCATGTCACACCCACAACAAGGAAATGGTTTGTCACAGGTTACAGCTATAGCAGTACAGTTTGTGCTTCACAACTCATGACTAGTAAGAAAAAAGGGAGACCAAAGACACCTCCTTCATATCCACCCACAACACTGACCCAATATTTTTTTACTGTAGTGTGGTATGGACTCAACGTCCCTGAAAAACAGTGTGTAGTGTTAGGTTATTTCAAAGGTGGGATCTCCAAATTTAACGTCCATCGGAGACAGGACCGAACCAAGTAAGTGGAGCGCTGGAAAAACTCCCCACACAACCCAAGATCAAGAGCACGCTATTGGGGACTCAAATCTGGGAATTCCAAACGGCAGTCCAGCAAGATACCAACTGAGCTATAAGCACTCATGCATACATATTTTGGAGAAAAAAATAAACCGCAAAGCAGTTATATGCTCAAATATCTAACGGGACTGGAAACAAGTTTCCACTAACTTAATCTCTGATGAGTAACATTCTCATAATGTTCAGAGAGAAATAAAAAATAACCAGTCGTTGACATCAATTAAGTCGTTCTTGGTGAGGGGTTGTTTTTTTTTTTTTCATTAAAAAAAACACAAATACTTTGATCATTTTAACTCACATCCTTTGTCTGACACGACAAGAAAACAAGCTAAAACGCCTGTTAACACAATGGTCTAAAGCCAACCCAACTATACCAGATGAGCATACACATCATTTTTCTCTCTCTACGTATACTTTAAAAAAAGAATGCAGTTTCTCCCACCAAGCGATTTCTACTACATCGACAGTTCAATAAAAACATATTGAAATGCCATAATACAATAAAAGAAGTTTCAGATGATTCAATCAGTATGAGGAGGAGGTGCATCAAGACAAAAATAAAGGGATTACATCACACGAGAGTATTCAAATTAAAAAGAACAGATTAAAATAATAAAATTGTTCAGTTTTGTGTGTACTTACTAAGATTTAACAAAAACGGTTTCATATTTCATTTGTGTGCCTGAATCAGATACTGTAATATCTCATCATAACAGCAACAAGGCCGTGAAAGACAACGAATACAAATATATCAGTAAGTATAAACAAAAAGCAGAGTGCACTTAAGTTGTTCTTTAGCAGGATATTCCTCAATTCTTCTCCCTAGGAGAGGATAAAATATGACTTTTCCCAACCCCGACAAACACATTAAAATATACTCCTTCTTTTCTACTTGCTTGTGGCAGAGATTTAAAAAAAAACAAGTGGTAAGAAACATGAGCTGAATTGAGAATTATTTCTGACTTATTTACTGTTCCTGTTTGGAAATTTCAGTAGGCGTCATTTGATTGAAGGAAAAGGCTTTCGTGACGTTATTTAGATGATCATAAACATTGGCATACTTTCCCCACAAGTTAGAATGAACCAATGAAATGGAATGACCACAACAACAGTACTAAAGTGCATATGAAATCATCACTTGTGCTTAAAACGTATCTTATATGAAATTATAATTATAATAATAAAATAAAACATGTCAGAGTCACTAGTCAGGTCATGCACAGCAGTTCTTTGACTTGAAACTATAAAATAAAGTCTGTAAAATGACGTTCAGTCTCAGAAATTTTGACACTTAATAAAGTCAGTAATCATCAATTGTTTAACAAAATAATCACATTACATGGTCATTTTCACAACTTCATTATATTCTACTCTTCATCAGAAAAAAAGTAGTTAAACTCAATAAAGAAAAAAAAATGTGATGTGGAAAACCAATGAAAAAAACCCCAACCCAACAACCTAATTTAAACAATAGTGCCACGTCTACACTGAATTTCTCACTAACAAGAAAGGTATGACAATGGAAAGGTATTTAATCATAATTCTTGCTTCTCTAAAAAAAATGCAGCACAAATTAATGTTTTCCTTTCAGCAGTACAGTCTACTTATAATCAAAATCGTCTTGCGTCATGATTGTCCTCTTGGTGGTAAGTCAGGATTTGTAAACACCACAGGTGCAGTCCCTCCGGAGAAACATCCAAATATCAAACCTCTCTGTGGTTCTACATCTAGTTGCCGACCATCCATCTCGACAGTTGTTCCTGGGAGAAAAAGGTATGCAATCAGGAGATCAGACAACGTCTTAATATAAATATTTTTGTATTTGGACATCCCCACTCGAGCTCTATGCACTTTATTAAGTATATTATTATCCCAGCAAATCCTAGAACACTCAAAAACATTCTTGGCATCCCGGGAAGCATACAGCGCAAGTAGCTGACTAAGCGTTTAAACACTAACGAACTGACAAGATGTGTAAGTTCATTTAAACTATGGGGTGTCCAGGGTGTATTTTCTGCCTAGACTGAACCCCCAGAAGACAGACAAGAATGGGCCAGAGCTTGACAGAACACACAATAAATAGACAGAAAAAGTTTTCTCCATTTTTTGTCAGAGAGGCTGTGGTTTATGAGCTGCCCTCCACCAACAGTGGTGGGTGTAGCTCCCCACTGGGGTCAGGTTGTCACACAAAATAATGCATATTAGTTAAATTTTGCCTCGGACAGAGAAATGAATAATATTGTCAATTGATTTTTTTCATCTCTGGATTTAAATTGCTAATAAGTTGTTTGTATTGATTAAGCACATAGCTCACAAATATTTTCTATTAGCCATCTAAATCACAAAACTTAAATACCCAAAACATAAACCTCAGTTGTTTTTAACTCTGTGGTTAGAACATTCTATTGTTTGCAATTTTGAAGATAGAAATATCCCAAGCCTGAGAATTTACTTAAAACTATCTTCCACAAAAAAAGGGGCATAAATACAGTCGAACCTGTTATATTGGCCACCTGTCCAAGACAATCACATGTACAGATGACCACTTCCCATTTCCTCCCTTGCATTTTTTAATATATATATCAATATGACACTGTCCAAATTGCCCACCTATCTAACTTGAACAATTTAGACAGTATTTGCATGGTCTTTTCAGGTCTTTTTTCACAATAAATTTTACTTTCTTATCTGTTTGCATAATTTGAATGTAAAGCTAATGGCATTAATTAAAAATAATTAACTGGAAGAAATTTGCAATAACAAGAAGGATGCAAACAAATAAAAGAAATACTCTTAGTATGTTATAAATGTTCTTTTCAGGGTGCCTTCCTTGTGACTCAAAAGAGGAATGTACGTAGGACTAACACGTTTTGAACAATTAATTACTATTCAGTTGTTGTAATCACTTCCAGTTGGGGCCATTGTTAAACATGGATATGTAATTTAGGCCTACTGATAAATGTTTTATATATAAAGTAAAAAGTAACATTTCAATGGGGGAAAAGATAACCAAGAAAGAAGTTTACGAGCAAACAGCATTTCTCCCGTTTGTTTTCACTAACAGTTAACTTTAAAACTAAAACTCTGGATATTTTGTTGGAACTCCTGAACACAAAAGCGCCAGTAGATAGAAATGGGCATTTCTTCCCCCTCCTAAAAAAAGACCCCTTCAAAAATTCCTTTTCTCTATTGGTTCTCTTAACTCGAACCAATCATATGAGAAGATTACGACACACATCCATGTGCCTTATATGCAGAAACATTATACAATGACAGAAACTGGACAGACAAAAACTGAACAAAAAGAAACTGAAATGGGTAAAAAAACAAAACAACAACAACCTAGAACATAAGCAAGTTCAACTGTCATAACAAAGATTCAATCAAATACAAATTAAAGAACTTCAATTGAGAGCAAAGCACCAGTAATATTACAATCTCATTCGATAGATTTTTTGGGTTTTGTCTCCCCATCCATTGCCCTCTCAATACGGCGCATGACAAACTCATCCACGACACCCTGTATATATGTAAAAGTGATAGGAAAAAAGAGAGGAATAACGTAGATGAAGTTTATGTCACAGAAGTGAATATTGTCTGTAATGTGACTTTGGCAACATTCCAAAACTCAATACATGGTAAACTGTAGATATTCAATATGTCAGCAGAAACTGGGGAGCTAGCATTTAAGTGCCTGTCTGAGTTTTAGTTTTAGAAAGGGTTTTATGGCACGCACAACACAAAAAATAGTTCATATAAGTGCCAAGGTTTTACGGCACTAGCAACACAAAAAAGTTCAAATAAACTAGCTGAAAGTTTACACACACAAACAAATAAAGGAAGGGAAGGAGGGAAGGAGGAGGGGAGTGAGGAGAGAGAGAGAGAGAAACAAACACAGAGACAGAGAGTTTTAGTATAAGTAGAGGTTTTACGACGCTTGCAACTGCACACAGTCATATGAGCTCCAGAAGATTAGAGGTGTTACAAGAGAGTAACAAACATAAAAAAGAAGAAAGGGAGACAAGGACGATAGATGTTTGATAGGAAAGAAGAAGCAAACCACACAACAGCACCCGCCAACCACCTACAGAGACAGAGAGAGAGAAACAGAGAGACAAAAAGAATGAAAGAGAGAGGGGGAGAAAGAAAGAAATGATTAACAGAAAAGAGGATAGACATGTGAGTAAGTATTTCCAAGAACTACACAAACGATAACATGTACTATTACGCTCATTGTCAACAGTTTCTCACTCACAGGGAAGGAGTAGATGAAGAGGCCGATGAGCAGCACCACCAGGAGGATCAGGATGGTCATGATGATGAGGCAGCGGTAGTTACGCCAGATCACAAACTTCAGCGTCTTCCAGGGAGACGTGAACCACAGGAACGAGGTGTCTGGCCGCCTGGACACGAAATGCAGGTAAACCAACACGGTAGTAGGGGGTGATATACATTAATAAACTGGATAATGTAACATAAAATGGGTGGTATATATTTTAAAATTGAACAAACACAGTAGTATGAATGACATAAATCAGTAATTAATCTATGTCCCATGAAATAACATGGGTTACATAAACTAGTAGATTGGGTATATGCTTAGGAAGCCAGTCCACAAAGTGACAAGACAAAGACTAAGATGGAATCCGTAGAGGAGGAGGAAGAGAAGAAGTCCGAGATCCACTTGGGAACAAGACCTGGAGGCAGATCTCGAGCATATGGGACACAGCTGGCGGGATGGTCACCTGTCTAAGACAACCAATCTTCTCCTTGACAATGGGTGGCCGTTCTAGACAATTTCAACTGTATTTATACAAGGACAAAACAAGCAAAACTTCATATCATGAAGAAAACTAAAACTGTAAAAGAAAAAAAGACATTTATCTTACTTCGGTGGGTCAAGCTTCGGGTACATGTTGGGCTCCTCTCTGCCCTGACCGGCCGGTCGCTCCTCAGCATCTTCGGACGAGATCAGCTCCAGCTCCATCTCCACCTTGCCCTGCAGAGAATGAAGAACAGGGATTCTTACGGATTAAGTGTTTCATATCATTAAGAAGTGTACTAAAACCAAGGCATTTAGGTTAAAAGCGTTGATGAATGGTTAGGTAATTTCACAATAGTCCCTTGTTCCGCCAGCAAAATCATTTGATAAGTCTTAAAAAGCATTTACACAGAAGAGTATGGAAACAACCACATTTTCCGTTGTAAAAAACAAACAAAAAAAAACCCAACAAAGTGAAATTACCTATGAAGGATCAATCAACTAACCGTGAGCTCCCGAGTTCCGCTAGATTCATCGAAACAGGGCCAGTAACCACGCATGTGCTTCATCTCAAACAAGGAGACCAGCTTCACATCAGGGTTGGCATCAGGAAGCATCTTCAGTGTGCAGTTCCTGGACCGCTTCGAAGGGAGTGGCATCGCATTCAGGTTGAGCTCCAGGTGACCTGAGGAACATCAGCAAGTATTTCATGTTAATAAGAAGGGGGGAAATGTCTTTCAAAAAATAATCTATCAAAATGTCATCTGTAAAATTACATCGTCCCAAAACATTGTTCACCTTTTACACCTTACAAAGTCTGATAGTTAAGGGAAAAAAATCTTTTTACTCGAAAGAAGAGATGAAGTGAACCAATGGAAGTGTGCTCCCAAAACGGGCTTCAGCCTATAAAATACAGTTGGGTAGATATTACAGCTTCTCTCACACAAAACATGCTTGGCTTTCCAACTTTTATTCCTTAGTAAGAGTTCTTGAATATTAGATGCATGTATCTTAAATCAGCTTTTAATTAAAGACAACCCACTAAAACTCCAGTACTGATGACATAGGGCTCCATTTCATTATCATTAAGAACATGTGTTTCACATTGTAGAAATAACCAGACACTTTGGTAAATCCAGTCTCACTCACCAATGAAGTCATCCTTGGAGAATTTGTCATTGTCCCAGATCTGGGTGATGAACTTAGGAACAGTACGTATCTCAGTCTCATCCAGACTCCAGAAGTGTTCCTGAATGTAAGGCATTAAATAATATGAAAGCAGGCACAGAACACAGTGACTAATTTTGACCCGCAAGTGAACGTAAATGCAAAAAAATAGGAAAGCAATTTTTGGTGAGATATATACAACAAGGACAAACATCATTATGAAAAAGTTCTAGTACTTTATCCAAAAACAAAGAACAATGAATGTCGTCTACTTGGTCTGGAAAGTCTAAAAAAGACCACTCCTTTTCATTGTGAGGAAGAATTCAACCACTTCCATTCTGACTCACTTTGAAACCAAACTGAAAAACTCTCCCCCAGCATATTCTTCTCCAAACTGAAAAACTCTCCCCCAGCATATTTTTCTTTTGTAAACTGTTTATGAGACTTCTTCCACAGAAAGAACTAAGAAATGAGCACCAAACAGTTCTTTGTGTCGTAGCCAAAACTTGATCGTAGACCGTCATGCATGAACTTTCTTGACACTGATTGACTTGAAAAAACAATAAGTGAACTGTACAAGATTCATCCCAATCAGAGTCAGATATTGTTCCAACCCACATACCTTTTTCTTCACCACGAGAGACTGTTCTGCCACCTGGTAGTCAAAGGGGAAAACAAACCTCCAGTTGAAGTTTCCTTCTCCATCCAGGGACCTGAAGAAAAAGGAAATCACATGTCACTTGGAGAATACATGAGGATGAAGTTCTTCTGGCAAACTGAAATGCAAATTAAATTGGCGTCAGTCTCGTATTTGTATGTTTGCAGATGGTGTAGACTTTTTACATACTGTGACATGGACACTTGATTGACTCCACATAAATTTAACTTTCTACATCTGTCTCAATCTTATAGGCACTAGGAGCACAAATCTACCGGCAATAGAACTCTGGTAACAAAAACCTCAAATGTTAGCAACAGCTGTTTATAAAGAGGGAAATATCAATAATTAAAAAAACAAGACACAAAACAAAACTGTACAACCCATTCTTCAAAAGCATATGATGGACATGCTGAAAAAAAACCCCATATGAATTTAAGACAATATAACATAAATGGACGATATCCATGTACCATGAATGTGAAACAATACAATACAAATGGATGACATTCTTGTAACACGAGATTAAGATGATACAAGACAAATAGACAATATCCATGTACCATGAACTTAATACAATACAGCACAAATAATGACATTTCTGTACTATGATCTGAAGACAATAGAGACAAATAGATGACATAAATTTCTTCCTGTACCTGTAGTGGACATCTGTCTTCTGCTTCTGGTCAACACCGGCCATCCAGCTCTGGACATAGATGTCACTCATCTTTTCACCTGTGATCGATTCCTCCTCCAAAATCACATCCTTGGTGTTCCAGACGACCACACGCAGGACATATCTGCAATATCACGTATCATCACACTTAGGTAAAACCTGTGACAATATATTGAAGCACACTTTAGGGCATACAGTCGAGTCTGCTTCAACCAGACATATTTAATCTGAAAACAGGGGAAAACTGAAATAAAACAAAATCCCTGATTTATTTTCTTCTATTTGAGCAATCTCTAAAAACTGAAAATGTGGCTAAATTGAAGAAAATCAAGTGGTCGCTCAGATTTCAATTTAACACTTTGCAGTCATTCAGCCAGCAGTACAAAATACCCCCATCTGGTCACTCAGATAATCTTCACCGGCACATTATTGCCCAAAGTGACCGCAGAGTCTTAAGTGGACTCAACTGCATTTGAAATATTATGACCATACACAATTAGGAAACACTAGAGACAGGGCATACCATAGATATGTCATACAAGCACACAAAGGACACATCTATAATAAATGCAGAAATCATTGGACTGTATTTTATTTTAAACCCCTTTGAAATGTGACACTTACACAGCCTGAAATAAATTGTCACATGAAAAAAAAAAGAAGAACATTTTTTTAATTGCATTGAATTTGAAATTCTGAAAATTTTGAATCCAGTCTCTTTGTTAATAAAAAATGTTCGAAATGCATACTAATTGCAGACTAGATACCAATTGCCAAAACTGATAAGTAACATCACTGGTCACATTTATTTAGGAAAATTGCATTTTAAAAAAAGCACTGCAAGGTAATCCTGGACTTACTTGGCCGGTTTTCTTGGGCCAACGTCAAATGGAGCAGCCGGTGCTCCCAGAGACGATGGGAAGACATCGACCCACATGTGAAGGCGACCCTGGTGTAAGAATTCAAAGACTGAATTGACTGACATTTGACTTACAATCATATTTCTTTTGTAAAGAAAAGATTGAACGAGGAAATAACTCTTGAAACGAGCACTTTAAGTTTGAACTTCAAATTCACTGGTTCATCGGGCTGCGAATGGATACTCCGTGATCAGTAACGGCAAAATACCTGAATAATAGCAGCATACATTTAACATGCTGCAACACTGTATGTCCCCAATGTCTTTAGAAGGAACTTCAGCAATACATTGAAATCAACAGGCTGAGTGAAGAGAGGAATTATCACAAAGTTATGAGAGACTTCTATAAGGACCATCGACAAATAGACGGTCGTTACAATGCTGTTCTGAAAAGCTTGACCTAGTGTGGACCAGATTCTCACCTGCTCTATATTTGGCTGCAGTGGGTTGTAGATTGGCCTAGATTCAACGTGTTCTTTCACCAATGGGAACAAGTTGAGAATATGCAGAGCCAATCGCTGGTCTTCTGGTCCCCAATGCTTGTTCTTTGGGGGAGTTTTTTCTGAAAAATTGGAACATGAAAATATTTTTTAATTGAAATAGTTTTTCTAACCATTTAATTAATAAATAGATCCCTTCCGTTCTCCATAAAACCATTACAGTACACTGAGGTATCACTTTTTAACTTTGAAAACCTGTACTGAAAAGCTGAAAATCCAGAACTTTTCCCTCACTTAGCAGTAGAAAACTATGAGGCCAAAAAGTCCTTCATTTGCTTACCAAAGTCAGAGAGCTTGTAAGTCCTGCTTCCCACTTTACAGCTGGTGCTGGTGGGGAAGGTGGGACCCTCCAGGAGGTTGCGCTGACAGTACTCCAACAGGATGTCACGTGGCTTTTGTGCATCACGCCACTGGTTCACACCGGATCTGTGAGAGATACAGGACACAGTGTGAATCATCTACAACAGAGATTTGATGCTGTTTTCCCTCATTCATTCTCTGGTTAGTCAGCAAAAATCCAATGCCAAGTACACTAATAACAGTCTCTGTTAAAATCCTAGTTCCTATTCATACTTTAGAATTTTTCAAGAGTACGATAAAATAATCATCCTCTCTTGTAATAAGCCTGACTTTTACATGTATTAGCCAATCTTCAACAGTGAAAAGGAATTTGGAGTTGTCTCATACTTGGACTGATTTGATAGAGAATCAACTTTTATTTCTGATCATCATATAAACTGACCAAAGATGAAAAGCCCGGTCCCAAGTTCAATGGAAAGAGGAATCCAAAATACCAAAACATCAGCAGTGCAAGACTTATGAACTGCACTTAACAATGACAGAAGAGTTGGACATTTGAAATAGGTCCATTGTTAGCAGACCAATACTACACAAATCACTGCGCCCCCATCTTATTTGAAGCCAATAAGAAAGAACAGAAAATTGTAAACATTCAGAGCTGACATAGTCCTACGCAGTGTGACAGTGTTACAGTTGTGGGACAAACACATACAAATATTTTTGACTCATCAAAACAGAGTTTGTCATTCCATCATCTTACACCCAGTATGTTTTTGGCAGGCCACAGGTTGCCCTGTACTTGGAGAGGTATCGGTTCTCAAGGTCAATCGTCGTCTCTCCGATCGTGTCGTCGGAGCTGAGCAGATCATAGTCCTTGACCCTGACTTTCAAATCCTTGGTGAGAGGGATGAATGCCTTCATCTCAAACAGCCTGTGGAAAATGAGGTGGGATTCAGTTGTATGAATAAGAGACATATGATAAATAAAAGGAATCATACAAATTCAAGACTATAAGCATAGCTGCCAACTTTTCAAACCCCCAAAACAGACTCTACTACATACGTGGCTGGTCAAGATGGTGGTCATTATGCAGAACCCCCCCCTCCCCAATCCAAACCCTTCACACACACTTTTCTGCATAAAATAGTATCAAACCATTCAAAGAAGACCTGCAACAACAATGTCAGAAATGTTAGAAAAAGTCTCTTCAATTGATTTGTGGGCTTTGTTCTCATTATTGTTCACTAATCTGATCTTGAAAGTTAATAGTTTTTCTTCAGCACCAGCAAGTCCAATAGGAGCAATAATAGAAACAGAGACAGCACATTTTCCAACACAAAAAAGTGTACTAACCTACTCAAACCCCTCAAAAACGTACTTAATACATTTTATATAAACTGGTTAGCAGCTATGTAGTAACATTCTCCGTTTCGATTTTTTTTTCTGTTTTTTTTTTTTTTAAACCAGCTCCAAAAACCACCAGTCCAAGACAATCATCTGTCAAGACAACCACTCCCCATTTGCCCCCTTGGGTTGTTTCTGTATTATGACGACACTGGCCAAGAGGATCACCTGTCTAAGATGACCACAATGTCTTGGACAGGTTCCACTGTATATTAACTGCTCAGTGTATGGCGGAGTCTTACTTAACAGTCCATATGTGCGCCCCCCCTCCCCCCCCCCCCCCCCCCCCAGGGCAGTGCTACTGACTGAAGTGTCTTTAGGCCATTCCCAAAGGGGGGGGGGGGGTGATATTAACATGTTCTTATGCATGGTAGATTTGTAAATGGGTTGATTTATCAATGTTACGCTCATACTGTGCCGGAACAACATAGGAGGAATTGCTGCTTTTCATTCCTAATCCTTACTATTGTCATTATTCCTCTACTTCTTTTGTATGTTTGTCATTCTCCTGTGAACTGCTATTTCCGGGGTGCCTTGATAGTCGAAGCAAACTTTGAGCTGTTGAGGTTAGAGAGGGGAGCAGAGAAAGCCTGATTCCCCGTTTGGCCTTCTCTGTTGACATCCATCCCTTGGCGCTCATACGACTTTATGCAGTTGCGAGCGCCGTTAAACCTTACTAAAACAAAAGTCCATATGTGAAGGCTTGAGAGAGACTGACTGTTTGTGCTTGCCTTTCTATCATCTACACTTTCTGTTGCAAGTCTCGTCTTCAATCATCATTTTCACAAACAGTAGGGAAAATTTCCTATGTATACAATAAAGTTCTCATTCATCTTGTCTTATGTTATCTCCAGAGCTCACCTGCCAAACACTGGGTTGATGGTGTTGGGGATGTACTCATCACTGGTGCTGAGCTTCTTCTTGCCAAGCTCCACCTCCACATAAGGGTCAGCCTGGGTGGAAAATAAAAACAACAATTTTAACAATGATAAATATCATAACAATAATGATAACAATAAAGATAATAATAACAATAATAATAATAAAAAAATTAATAATAATAATGATGATGACGATTTTTTTGTTTTTGTTTCCTTAATGGGCCTGACGGACTCCACGAAGAAATCTTCGAGCAAGAGCGAGGCTCTTTTTCGGCTCCATTGTCAATATGCTTAGCGGCACCTCCACTCTCGTCCAAATAACTCCATTCGAATTGCCATTGTTCCTGGACATTCAAACATATGTTTGACATCCTCCTTTTCATGGCAGCATCTTCGGCAACATGGGCTGAGCTCTTCATTTACAAAGTTCTTATACCATTGATGATGATGATGATGAAATAATAAAAATAATAATAATAATAATAATAATAATAATAATAATAGCAATAATAATAATAATGATTATGAGCCTAATCCCCAGAGGGCTTTAAGTGCAATATAGTGCAGAATTATTATTCAGTTCAACTGACAAACCAAAAGACATAAATGTACACCGTGAGACCACACACACTCACACGTGCGCACGCACATGTACACACACAAACACAGGCGCACACACACACACACACACACACCTGACACACATACACACGACTGACAGACCCACGCACATTCTAATATACAAAAACAAATACATCAAAACTATAAATTCCAAGCTCACATCTTCCTTCCTCATATTTTTCTAATACTAAGACTTGAATTCCAAGGGAGTTGTTAAAAAGATTTAAAAAGATAAGTTTGTTAAAGTAGAAGTTTTATTCGCACAATTTCCTTTCATTGTATAATAATATTATCTGACATCAAGCATAACTAACATCCAAACCCTCACTCTCCCTCCATAAAAAGAGAGTTTTTCTTCCTCATCCTTTAATGATTGTCCTTCCTATGGATCGGACTTTAAAATATTTCTAAAAACCAAGGTAATCAGTTCTCCTTTGAAGGTAAATGACTCAGTTGCAAAATTTTAAATCCCATTTCTTGTCCTCCGACTCAAGGTTGGAAACAAAAACACATATAAAGCAGCTTAACCACAATAAAATCAAAACTTTCAGGACAATGGCGTAAACACATTACAGCTTTGATGTTTCCAAAGATGTCCAAAGACAAAAATGTGAAAAAAACCCAACAAAACTTCCAAGTTGTCTTCCACTTCAGAGCAGGGTGGCTTATACCAATGGTCCCCAAACACCAGTCCGTGGGTCGTTTTATATCGGGCCGCAGAAGAACACTCCCCCCTCCCCCAACATTGTTTAATAATTAATTAATTGATTATCAGAGTCCAAAAACGTTTTATCTTTAAAAATGACAGTGTTCTCAGGGCTCCCATAGATACTGCATCAAAGTAAATTGTGTTTTTCTATGCATTTTACATATTTGTTTTAATATAATGTATTATTAGATATCTATCTTCATGCTGGTCATATAACTTTTTTTTGTTGCGTTCATCTATCTCACCTTCAAGCCTTGTCCATGAGAATTTGTCTTACACTAAATCGGTACATGGCACAAAAAAGGCTGGGGACCACTGGCTTACACCACTGTGAGACAAAAATACCCACCAATCCGTTGGGGTCATGAGGCTGCAGATCCACAGCCCGGATCACATAGACACGGATGATACACTCCTCGGGTGTGCTGGGTGGCAAGGCTTGGAAGATACGTGAGGGCAGCGGCAGACTAGGGTCAGGGGGCAGAGGGTACACGCGGAACGAACCCTGGGCAGACACATGAGTAAAGTTGTGGATTCATATGCGATATTCTGTCATTTGAAGGAAAAGCCTTGTATAATGCATCCTGATCAAATTTACACTGTGAGGAAATGTCCACATCTCTCTACAGTGTATCTTAGTTCGATACAGACAAATAAAAACAATATTAAGATTGGAAAACTAGAACAAAAGTTATGTCTAAAAAGGTTATTTTTCCAACCTTTTGACATGCAGAAGCTTCTTGTCTGTAACTGTAAGTACTGTCAAGTACAAAACTGTAGTACTCCCAATTCAGCCGGAAACACTCAAAGACAATCAGACATGCAGTCTTTGAATGCTCCCCTTTTGAGGTTATCTCAAGTTTGGACATTCAACTCCAAGGCAAAAATCCATCATACTTTAGATCTACCTTTAAGCTGTACAGTGAGCAGACCATTGACACAACCAATTGACAAAGACGAGTACTCACATCTTAATATTCATGCAACTGATGGAAAACAAACATCTGCACTTAGGGACACTTACTTTGAATTCCCCGATTACATTGTCATCCTCGTCATCATCATTCTTGCCCCGAGTGAGGGCCAGAGTGTGACAGAAATCTGAGAAGCCTCGATATGTTTCCTCCTTCTCCAGTTCTCCTGACAGAAGCTGCAGATGTGAAAAAAATTCAGAACAAATAAATAACAAACGAGACTATGAACGAATTGACTCATAAGTAACAACTGATTTCATACAATGAGATTCAAAAGCAATTTTTATTTTAAACACAAAATATAGATAGACATATTGGCAAAAGAAATTCTTATGTTTTAGTTTTAGTAGACGTTTTACGGCGCTCGCAACTGCATAAGGTCATATGAGCGCCAGAAGATTAGAGGTGTTACAAGATAGTAACAAACATAAAAAAGAAGAAGGGGAGATAAGGACGATAGATGTTTGATAGGAAAGAAGAAGCAAACCACACCAGAGCACCCGCCAACCACCCACAGAAATGTTTAGTTTATGGAATAACAATTGCAACATAAAAAATAAGGAAAGATGGCAACAATTTATCATATTACTGCAGTGATGCTTGAGAGACAGAAATATGGCTGCACAAGGATGGAGCCAAAACAAAACCCATTCAAACAAAATCTTTGGCGCTTCATCTTTCTGTAAAGATGATGTCATCTGCTAGCCAAAATAATCAGAAGGTTCTGATAACCAGTGACAGTCATAGTTAATTTGAGTCAATCTTGAAAATGCTCACAAAAAGATAGCCCATAGCCTTCAGTAAGATAGACCTCTCAAAAAACTGTTGTTAAAAGACAGAAAAACAAGTACTCTTAAGCTCTAAATGGTAGGCCTACACTGAGAGTAATCCGCAGGAGAAAACCAAGATCCACAATCTGCCATTTAAGATCACTGATTTCATTGGGCAGCACAAACATTCAACAGTAGAGAGGACTTAGTTATCCATTTAAATCTCCATCTTGCAGGACTCGAAGACTTACCTCCAAAGTGTCATAGCCAAGGGCATGGTACTTTTTACATTTTTCAAGGTCATTTGTAGAGGCATAGTACTTGGACCACCAATCCAGTTCTTGCTTGGTCAGTTCTGAATCCTTTGTAAAAAAAACCAACAACAACATGTAACTATAAGACTCTGAGCTACGGACAATCAAAGTTCTTTGTAAATTTTTGTTTTGGGGAAATAACCTCCCAGGGAGGCTATTTGAGATCTATCAAAAGCACTTTCACAGGCATGTAAGTGTTTCTGAAGCAATTCTGACAATTACAAAATATGTAACAAAATACATTATTCACAAAAGCATTTTTTTCCCCAGGTAACTTTCAATGAAATTGCCATTGGTAGGTTGTTTTTTTGGGTTTTGTTCTTATTTTAAGAGAAGCTTCTTAAAGTGATAATAATACTAGAAATAAAATGTGTTACGACATGGTGGAATCAGGTGCTTGTCAATTTTTGGACATGTGGATTTATTGGTATCAACTTAAAGCTTGTTTATTTGTCTATATTTCGATTAAAAAAACTACTCTTCAGATATTTGTGATTGAAGGAGGTGGGATCGCCTGGTTTCAGAAATAAAATTAGGGAGAAAATGACCGCCAACGTTGGGTGACTCCCAAAGCTTGAGAGTTATTTTAAACTGTAAATTGACATGTTTTGAGCCTTTAACCAACGATTTTCAGAAACTTTCATACAGAAATGTGTTTTTTATGGATATAAAACGTGTTGAGCACAACAACAAAAAAAGAAAATTCTTTAAAAATTGCCTAATGTCCAGAAAAATGCTGGTTTCTTTGATATCATTGTTTTGACAAGCGCCTGATTCCACCAAGCTGTCTCACAAATGTCACTCACCACTAGAGGGCTAATGGTAATATGACAAAGAAAATTAAAAAAACAAAACAAAACTGTCCCTATTTTAGAGTCTATGAAAGAAAAACAACTAGAATGACAACAAATCAAACAGGTTCATATATTGCAGTATTTATGCTCTAATGTTAATAACCCTTCCAGCCCCATGCGTGTATATTTTCAGCAGCACTTGTAACTCCCACCGTCCCAAGACCGTATATTTTCAGTTTCAGGGGGTACCGAATTTCAGTATTTTTCTAAATTGACTAACCTAATTAAACTTAAATTTTCATAATGTTTGTTCACTTACCTTTAAACTTTGTTATATGATATTATCTAAACCTCATTACAAAGATACTACATCACTTTTTAGAATGCATGCCTCATTTTCTGAAATACTGCTGTATTGGCTGGGACTGGGGCTGGAAGAGCTAAATGACTACTGCGTATAATTTTAATTTCCACAAAATGAAACTACATCATAAATAGTCTTGTGCCCTTGCCAGGCAGGCAGCGAGAGGAAACTTACATCTTGAATAAAATTAACAGAAATTTATAGAGACTTTCAGAACTCACTGTTAAAAAAAAATGAATAGCAACTTTCATCATCTCAGCATAATTATTGCCAGCAGAGTAGACAGTATAGTAAAAGTCTCACAATGCCAATATTTTGTTTACACTAATTATTTTTGATTTCCTGTAAAAATATATATTACGTAGGAACAATATTTCGCGACCTTAGTGCCTTCTTGTCCTATCTCCATTCTTTTTTACATTGAAAATGTGACTTCTTCTTCAGCTCACTCTTTGTATTGAAATATTTTCACTGTTATTAAAAATGGAAATAGGACAAAAAAGAACTGAGGTCGCGATTTGTTGTCATTAAACTTTACTGATAATATAAAGAGAGATAAAAAAAAAGATAAAATATGAGATTCAGTAGTGATCAGTATATATATAGAGAGAAAGAGAAAGAGAAGATCATGTGGTTTTATATTACAAAGCCTTTTTTCTGTGAGTGCGAAAGGAAAGTGAAAACTTTAAAAAAAGCAACACTTTGAGGCTACATTCATGACCAGCTGAATGGCATGTTGCAAGTTAACTAGCATACAATCAGTCTGCTAGTCTGGTCAGACAAGACTTGTGCAGTGAATCCGAAACATAAATAAGTAACAAGAAAGTGAAAATATGAAAAATCAGTGCTGTATGTAGATAGTTTTGAAAACGAAGAATTGAAATATATACAGAAATATAGATTCAGGAGGTGAAATAGGGAGATTCGTGGCATCCAGAAAAAAGAGAACAATGTAATCTGCCCCATACTGTCTTTCCTCTCACAGGATATCTTTTTATATACAGAAAACTGAAAGAAAGCATGACAGAAGTGAGGCTTTCTACTGAGACATTCTCCATCACAATAAATCATGAAAAGAGAAATAAATGAACACTGAAACATTTGAAAGATTTGATTATTTCTTTTCAGATCTAATCTTCTAGCCTCTCAATAAATTGTTCATATAATTTGTAATTTGCACTACATGTATGTCATAAACGTAATGAAGGTCCATGGAACAGCATAAAGGGAAATAATGAGCATGCAAACATGTAAGAAGAACACAAGAAATGAAAACGAAACTTAAATAATAACAACTACAAAGTACCCAGGAACTTGGAACGGCAAACTCGAAGAAACAAAACTCCAACTGTGGAACTTCGGAAGCCAGAAAAAAAAAAAAGGTGCCATAGACAAACCTCCTCCACCAAAAAGATTTTTTCTTTCTGTACAGGTCTTTTGAACTTAGAAAATTTGAGGATAACCTTCTTGGCATTCCCTCCCAAGCCAAAAAATCCAGAGTTATTTAGATTGGGCAGGAACTTGGAGCCCTTTTTGCTGCTCTTCTCCTTCTTGTCGCCCTCAATGAAGACGGGGGCAGCCTCCGTCTTCGGAGAAATCGTCTTCACGACTTTCTTCACAATCTTCTCTTTCTTACTCTTCTTCTTCTTCTTCTTCTTTGTTGCGTTTTCATAACGTGTGCAGAAGATAGAGAACAAAATAATCACTGTAAGGAGAGTACAGAGTGCTATGGATGTACTCGAAGGAGTCTCTCAAGAAGAGATATATGAGATAGTTTTATTAGGTGCAATTTGACACAGGGAAAGGGAGGGCAAGGGAGGAGGAAATGAACCAGGTTAGGACCCTTCCCTTACCCCCCGGGTCTGTTCATCAGGCTGTTGAAATAAAGAGATTGCCATCGACATTGCAACAGCTAACTTAATCCAGCCCACAATTAGTCCCAACCCCGCTCTCAACAGAAAGATGAGAAACAGAAATCAACATGTTATTTCAAAATGATGACGTTCCTTTCACTATCTCAATAAACCAACACAGAGAAAAAGGACGTTTTCTTTTACGGATGTAAATAGACAAACAGTCACATGAGACTCATTGTGCCCATCAGAAAAACTTGATCGCCTGACTAAAGAGCAGTGAAAAAAAATTGCCTGATCGTACACTGAAGAAGAAACAGTAATAACAAATGTCATAGGCTGTGTGCAGCATAGTCAAACATGTCAAGCCAAAGAAGCACAGAGACAGTGCAAATCAAATGCTTTCCGATTAACGTCTACAAGTAAAAAAAACAGCTACCCTTAACCACGGACATAGCAATAATGTCTTTAAGATGCATGCTAGCATTATGCTATACTTGGTGCAATGACCACTGGGTAATATTGCCGCCACTTTCTCCGCGGCCCAAGTGCCATGCGACAGACAACATACCCAGTGCACCCAGTCAAGGACTAGGGAGGCTATATCAAGTTTACCCTAAGCAGTAACTCTGACATCCCTGACTTGACTGCGTTGCCGATTCGACTCAGAACTCCCTTTCAAAAAGGAGCAGCACAAGGGAAATCAAAACCTTAAATTCAGTAGTGAGCTGAAAATGCGTTTACATAATTTCGACCAATCTGCACAATAAGGCAACTATAACAGAAATGTCACAAAAAGGTTTTGAGGTTTTACTGGGAAAACAAGACAAACAAAAATTGGTGCTGGTTTAATTGAAGCTCTACTGTGTTGTTCCTGGTTTAGTTGACAGTCTACCGCAGGACCGGTCTGACGACTAGTTTAGTTGAAGGTCTACCTCAATGTTTCTGGTTTGTACAGGTTTGGGACTGGCATTGGCAATTGTAAAAATATTTTGGTGGTTGTGGTTTGTCAGTGTGTGTGTGTGGGGGGGGTTGAGGAGTGACTTCCCTGATTTCCAGAAAAAATTCCTGTACGTCTTGTCATTTGTTGTCGCAACTTACAAGTCAATAATAATGTTTACCACTACAAAATTTTTCAATCTTAATAACACTGCGAAATGAAGCAATCCACCTACACACATTGCCCAACTGTAAACACAGCTGCCTTTGGTCTAAATGCCCTTATGGCGTTGTTGTTATCTGTGGCCAATCAGGAGGGACTTATGTTATGCTACATGTGTCACATCCCACTAGATTGTGGTCAATAGGGTGGGACTTACAGTACACCTTCAACTGAACCAGCATCCAAAAATCAAACAAAACTTTAGTCAGCAAACAAAGCAAACTCTTTTTCGTTTGAGTCTTGTATCCTCCGAGACATTCTGCAGGTTGGGCTTTTGGCCCACAGACAAAAGGAAACATCAGGAAAGAAGGGGGTATACACAGACAATATATTACAGTAAACTAGTTTTTGCACCTTACTTGACATAAACGGGTCATTTCCAATGACATAAGTGTAGAAAGTATTGCTTACACAGAAAAGAACAAAGGAGGGAAAAAACTCCGAAATTTGATCTCTCCCATCAAATCTGAGTCTAAAGAATTACATGATCACAAATAATATTAGAAACAACAAAACTGAATTGTTCAAGCCAGCCCCCACACTATGCTGCAGTTTCACAGAAAGCATACAATAAGAAGCAGGAATGGCTTAATCTGAGCAAAAAAGACAGTGGGACAATCAAGCACAAGCAGCAGAAACAGAAAATGCTTTCCTGTAACTAAATAGGGATGAAAACACACAAGGGAGAGAAACATGATGAAACATCTAATCTCTAAATAAAAGAAAGAGTTGCATCATTCTACAAACTAAGCTACAGCATCTCATGACTAAGCTCCAGGTTTCAAAAAAAGGACTTGACATCTCCAGACCATTTATACACCTTCGATTTAAGAGGACACAGATCAGGATGAGCCCTTGACTGTAGGTAAATTAGTATACATGTGTCACAACGTGGTGGAATCAGGCGCGCGTCAATTTTGGGGCATATGGAGTAATTAGTATCATCTTAAAGCTGGTTCATTCCTCTTGCATTGGGCGAAAAAAATACCCATCTATTTTGGATAGAAGTCGGAATATTTGTGATTAAAGGAGGTGGGGGTCCCCTAATGTGGCAGGTAAAGTTAGAGAGAAAATGGCGGCCGAAGTGTGGGGATTTCCAAAGTTTGAGCGTCCCTGGAAACTGTAAAACCCACACAGAAACGCATTTTTAAATAGACATAAAAAGTGTTGAGCTAAAAATATAAATTCGAAAAAAATTACCCAACAGCCAGAAAAATCCATATTTCTCTGATTTCTTTATTTCGGCGAGCACCTGATTTCACCACACTGCCTCACATATCTAAGTTTCACAGTAACCGTGGTCTACATCACAGAGCTAGGGAGAGCCTACCGTCTTAACATTCAGCCACCGTACAACACAACAAACCTCTACAGGCCCTGACAGTTTACTAGCAAACAAACCTGCATTTCAACGTAGTCATAAAGATGAAGCTGATTGGAAAGGAAAAGCAACAACATTCCATACTCCACATTTTGGTACTAAAATGAACCAAGGCAGCTGTATTATTTACTGAATTAGACATCCCATCTGAAATGTGTTTTTTTACTAAGATCTACATTGATATGTTGAAAAGTTGAAGAGCTTGAAACTTGTATTCATAAAATGTACATATTTAATAGGTATTTTTAGGCAAGAGAAAGACCAAGAAGCTGAAAAAGGCAGTTGCTCATTCAATAACAGTAGATAAAAAGCTGGCTTACCCTCTTCATAATATTTCTAACTTAAGGCATACTACTTCGATATATGGAAGCCTTACACAATTGCAGAAAAGATAAAGAAATGTAAGTAAGACAGCAGAATCTAGCAGCTTCACACAGTTTCAGAGCAGCAGCAATAAATATGAAGGGCATTCCCCCCTTGAAAAAGAAAAAAAAACAGAAAGGGGGATTAGTCCGCATGAGAACCAGTCATAGAAAAAAGAGTTTGGGAGTTAACAAGAGCCCCAGAGAGATGAGAAATTGGAAGAGGAAGAAAACCGAAAAACTCCTCAGTCAAACAAGGTGGTTCTTACCAAGTCTTTGTCTTCCTCCTCTGTCATCTGAATGACGGTGTCCTCTGGTCCCACAGGCTTGTCGGTCAGTGGGGTGCGGTCACTAGTGGAGGCTCCGTCCCCTCCTCCAGGCGTAGAGGGCGCTGTCATCATTTCACTGGGGTCTCCTGGACCGTCAGGACCATCGGGAGGTTTCGGAGCAGGAGGTCCATTAGTGGCTGGGGGGAGGGCTGGGGACGAAAAGGGCAAAAATAATAATAATAATAATAATAATATTAATAATAATAATAATAATAATAACAATAATAATAATAATAGGTTACATTCATATAGCCCTCTACCCCATATAAGTATAAGCTCTGAGTGCTTTACATTGATGACATGATCACTGAGAGTAAAACCTCATACACACAAGAAAAAACATTTCATATAAACAAGAAATCCAGTTCAACCTCATTTGGGAAGAACTTTTTTAGCCATGTATTAATTATATACACATACGGACAGTCTTAAACGACATGAAGAGCATATTGGTGATCATTATAGGCTTTGTTCATTTGTTGAATTGATATTATAGGTGAGATGAGACGCATTTCATTCTCAATTTACCTTGAGTAAAGGGAAACACATCAACACAATGATAGCCATGCAGAGTGTGGAAAAACCATGACAGACAGGCGAAGAAACAATAGAGAGGAAGGCAAGACATTGGACCTGTCAATAGAGCCATCTCTTTGAATGAACTGTAACGGTCAATTTCCGCTACATCAAAAATGCTCTTGTCCTAAGTTTCAATGTATAGGTAGTCTTAACACTTCTACAGCAGCAGTTTAAAACAGCAGTGCAAAAGATCAAATGCCCCCAATAAACTCAATTTCATAGTTATCTCAGATGATATAAAAATTAACTGCAATGTTTAAGACAGACACATTCTCATTAGTTTTACTATTCTTCACAGATAATATGTGCCATGGCATGGTGGAATCAGGCACTCGTCAATTTTGGGGCATGTGGAGTTATTAGTATCACCTAAAAGCTTTTTCATTTGTCTTTCTTTAGTTGAAACAAATGTCCATCTATCTCAAATAGATTTTGAGATATTTGCAATTGAAGGAAGTGGGGGTCGCCTCTTTTCAGACGTCAAAATAGCCAGAAAATGGCCACAAAAGTTTGGTGACTTCCACAGCTTGAGAATCCTTGGAAACTGAAGATTTACATTTTTTTATGCCTCTAATCAACTTTTTCTATAAATCCACACAGAAGTGTGTTTTGAAAGGACCATAAAAGGTGTTAAGCTAAAAAACAAAAATTCTATAAAAATTGCCAAACGCGGAAAAATGCTGTTTTCTTCTATTTCAGGATTTTGACGAGTGCCTGATTTCACCACGTTGCCTCATATATGTAAATTAATGTTATAGAAGCACATACATTTGATAATGGGGTCATGGGGAGAGGCACGACAGACAGAAACATTAAAAGGACAAATTGTAAAGCCTACGGAGCCCATTCTCCAGCAGGGATATGCACAATACAAATGAAACCTAGAATCATTTTTAACATCATTCACTCTGTGAAACTGAAAGGCCAGTAAACCCGTTCATGGTGAGCTTCTCTGCATCCCCTAAGGCCAGTACACCTGAGTTTAGCCAGGGAAACACCAAGGCCAAAAGTTTAAAGGGTTAAAGAAAAAGTGACACCATCTAAGTCAACTTACGGCAACTCAACGACTCCGTGACTCACCTCTGGTTGCAGATGCAGTTTCTTTCGATGGGTCGCAACGAAATTCTTCCAAGGACTTCAAAATGTGGACTCCCACTGTAGGCTTGCGACCAAATTGGCGGTGATCTTTCACACGGATGTTCATTGGCGGCATGTACAGCTCTTCTTTTGGCAGCATCTGTTGTGAGAAATATATAGTCTTGTCAATTCACAGACTCGCCTCGAGTGGGTCAGGAGGTACAAAAAGGACTCACTTAGCACTTGCTGAAAGAGCAACATCTTTTAAAGTGAAAATACACATACAAGAAGATCTATACTCAAACATACACGTGTCTTTTTCATAAACATGATCAAGATAATGTAGCTTTAACTGAGGGTCCAAGCAAGGGAATGATGGAGAACCATGACTGTCAATGTCAGTTGCAGCACAGATGTGGCACTCGACGACGATAAGGATGATGTTGCCTTTATACTGTTATCTTGCTTGTGCTTTCTCCAGAATTCTAACTTTTGGGCCAAGTGTGTTTTCTTAAAAAAACACAACTTATTTTCATTTGGAAGGGGGCGAACCTTGAGAATTTAAAAAAAAAAAAAATTCATGAGTCATACATTTCAATGCACTGAACAGATAAGTAGTAAGATTAATGGATGGAGTGAGAAACACTGTACCACTAGAAAACGTGGTACAAATGAAATCGATTACTTGCAGAAATTCTGACACTCACCACATCGAAGAACAGGATGTTCTCGACAAAGTTAGGGTTCCGGCGGGTGTCCTTGATGATCACAGAGTCCTGGACGTGGCCACCACACTCAAAGCGCACGCTGGGGGAGGTAACCGCAGCCAGCTGGAACTTCTTCATGTTCCTCACACCCCAACAAAGAATCTAACAGAGAAGTGGATATGTTTTACTTCGTTTTAGTAAGAGTTTTATGGCATTTGCAACACAATTAGATCATGTAAGTGCGGAAGATTAGAGGTGTTACAATAGATTAACAAATACAAAATAGAAGGAGGAGAGATAAGGATGACTGATGATCGATTGGAAAGAAGGAGCAAACCACACCAGAGCACCTGCCAACCACCCACAGAAGTGGATAATGATGAATGGTCAGAAATATTGTCCAGCAGTAGTTCCCCACAAGTCAGCTAATCAATTGTCACAAGGAACAGATTCGTCTCATGGTCACTTCATTTAAAAATAATGGTTGAAGGTTTTCAACAGTCTGTGGACATTTAAGCAAAGAGAAAAACATAAACACAGTACAGGTCATTTACAGCAGGGAAAGAAAAAAACAACTGACGGATGGTAACACCAAGGGGAAAAAAAAGAAGTAGGACCTATCCCTGGCGCATTCCAACCACCCCCAATTTGAGCCGTCAAGTCAGTGGCAAAGAGGTGAGACATGGTTGTTGTCTTCATTTAGCAGGCCTTAGTCTTGAGCATTTCAGCCACTTGAAATTCAGTGGAGGACAAAAGGCATGGAAAAAAACGAATAAGAAAGAAAAAGAATTTTGCACACACTAACCTCAATAGCAGTCCGTTGCATAACAGGTCTGATGCCATTAGGCACAATGTACAGGTTTCCTCTCTTAGGTGGTAGGAACGGCAGATCCTTGGTCGTGATCTAGAGACAATCAAAGATATCCACCAGTTAAGGTATCTCAAATCTCACTTCAGAATATCATGGAAAAACAATCTTTCACTGAAATGTCATGTAAAAAATATACTCTATGCACTTATACTGTATTTCAAAAACTCTCACTGAATTAATTCCATACAGAACACGAGAGAAATAAAAGTGCACAGGCCAAATCTGATAAATGGTTCCAAATTCAGGCACAAAACAATGTGTCAGATGCTCCGACAGTGTGAAACCTGGCCAAAAGTCCACAATTCAAGTCTGAGTTGCCTTCGAAATCTCTTGTCCTCTTTTGAAGATGTACTCATGGCTTGGCAGTTATGAGACAATGTGCTACCTCTTTTTAAAAAAACAACCAAACAACCAGATTTAGTCCTAAGAAGGGCGTAAACTCCAACAAAAGCGAGTCAGTTGTTTTGTTTCTTTGGCATCACTGACACACTTTTCTCATCTAGGGGCCACAACAGGACTTTGACAACTCAAAAAATTTACAACATTTTCATGTGATGATTTTTTGTAATTCAAATTAAGCCTAATGCATAAAAAGATAACACTCAACAAAATTTTCTTTTATTGTATACATTCAACTTAAGCAAAAACTAATAATATCCTTTGGAGTGACAACGGTTATTTGTCCTAATGTCAGTAAATATGACACAGAAGATAGAGCTAATCAGATAAATTTACACTGTAATTTTTAAAAACAGGAGGCCCCTCTCCTTTCAATAGGTGTCTGTGCATAACAAATGTGTTTCCCCATTTGAGTTACAAAAATCAGTTGAGAAAAAAAAACTCAACAAAAAGCTGGACAGCGCTGAAAAGGAAAGTCTTTGAATTAAACAAATGCACAGATCTGTATTTCAATGTAATCTTTAACTATTTAGACACCAATAATTTTCAGCTTCTCAAGCTGAAGGCAATGGAAAGGTGGCAAACGAAACCATGTGTAAGGCATGCTGACAAAGAGAGTCATTTCTCCGATTTTAGCCCTATGAACATAAATACGTCAAATTTATAGGATAACCGTGTATAATTTATTAGTATGAAATGATAAAAAGACAATTAAACTTAAAGAAAACAGCATCATTTAAAAATCTACAAATTTGACCCGTGTGTCGATTTTTTGTCACATCTCCATTCGTGGAGTGTGAGAAGTGACTCATTTTGTCAGCAAGCCTCACAGAAGAAAATACTGGACTAAAAGAAAATTGGTATAAGTTTCGACTTGACCAAAACAGGCAGCACAAATTTCATAACTTACACCTCAAACTTTCAATGCAGCTTTGCAGACCGATCTTATTTTAAAAATGCAGCATTCAGCATTATCAAAAAAGGAGAACAGTCACCAGTCAACATCTCCCTCTTCAAGGTACAACATGCACTGATTCTGACCAACATCATTAATATTCACATGATTTTAACCGTAAAAATTTAGCAGATGTAGACCTACTACCCTCCCCTTCATGAATAGACTATTCTCATGTCACAGGTATCTCCAATTGTGGAAAACCATCTGACCAAAATCTGATCACACTTAATAGCAACTTTACAGCAATGCTTTATAAGCAATATGTAGCAAAGAAAGAAAAAAAGATAATGGAGAGGGAAACTGCAAAAAAAAAGACAAAAATATATACTGTTAGCTTTGCTAAAGAGAAAAATGCTTGCTCAGTAAAGATCAGTCTCAGCAGTAGGAATTTTGATCTACATTTATTTTAAACCTATTGGAAAGTCTCCATAAATCAACATGAAAGGCCACAGGTCTTGTAAGAGTTTATATATATATATATCATCAGCATAACAACTGCAGCACATGCTGTGCTACTGAGCAAACTGTGATGACCTACGTACAAAATGTCTCTGGACAGTGAGAGCAAAACAAGTACAACAGGAGAGAAAGACAAAACTGGACAGACTGAAATGAAACAAGAACAATAAATGCTAAATTTCATATGTCCCAATATGCTGCAAAAAGTGTAATACATAGATCTATATCAAACTTCATAGTGCCCTTCTCTAGGAAAGAGACAATGCTTGTATGTTTTTCTCTTTTATACTTTATATGGAATGTACATTTTATTACACTATTCATGTACATTCACTTTTCAGTAACTCAAACGAGTCTTCAATATTTTTCCTAACTGCTAAAGTGTAAAAGTAGACTACATGACGCAATTGACAGAAAAAGTTGTCACTATTAGCAAACAATACAGGTACGGAAATGAACAAAGTACCCCCATGTAAATTATAATAGTTCAAATTTCCAACAGAATTGAAAGTGAAGAAGAAATAAAAGAGACAGTTCACCCATCACCAACAGACCAAAATACATACAGTGATCATTTTTATAATGAGAGAAAAATTCCTTTAAAGGAAAAAGTGACCACAGAAACAACAGTATTATAAATAGAGCATAGCGTTCAAATCCTTTATAAAAATTATGGCACAATGATGCTAAAAGCTTTGTTTACATAGCAGTTGTCCCTTTCACTGACAAATATTTTCAGAAAAACAATGGAAAGGGAATTTTGAATCCTATATTATAATCCTATATTAATCGGCAATTTATAAAAAATTTCTTTACCACACTTTGTATTCATATTTTATCATAAGGACTAAGATGACCATCTAAATTCTGTATTAGAAGATACACTTTTGTCAGGCTATGTTCGTTGTTGTTCTATGGACCAAAGCGAACTGAAAAAACAGGATTTGAGAACAAGAATATTTAAAAAACCCTAAATTTTTAACAACGTAACCCTTGAGAAACAGTTGACAAAACACAAAAACTGATAAAATCATGACCAGAGCTATGTATAAGACAGAAAATAATCATTCTGAAAAAAAAACAACCCAACTAAACAAAAACAGTAGAAAAATCACAAAGTCAAGAACCACCCACTCACAGGCGACAAATTATAAAATTATAAGAGGTCAATACTAGACAGTTACAAAAAATATAGCGTAAAATTAAAAGCAACAAAAAGAAAAAAAAAAAGGAAAAAAAATGAGAAGAGAGAAAGAAGTTCATACCTCAGTCTCTTCATCAGAATCAGCATCCGGAAACTAAAAATATGTACGAGTAAAACTAAAGTACTGAGGTTTGACTTTTTTAAAGGCTATATCAACACAAGACCTACCAATGCCATGAAGAACTTCAAAACTATAAAAACAAGTAGAACAATCACAAAAAACATTTATGAGGACCTCCAACCTCTACAGAAACCTTGTCTTGTATATAAAGCACTTGCTCCGAGTACTGTGAGAGAACTTAATACAGAAATACAATACAGAAACAATCTAGAATGAATAAGAAAAAAATATAAACATTTTGTCTATGCTTCTGAATTTTTTCTCACATTTTTCTTCTCTGCCCATTGTCCGGATGAAATAACTTAAAATTTGTCACATCAGTGCGTTAAAATTTATCATTTACATTTACTGTGAATGTCACGGAAAACATTCATTCAAAGTCCCATGGGATTAAAATGAGAGTACATCTGAGCTTATTTCTAATGAAAGTATTAATATATGTGAGGCATCGTGGTGAAATCAGGCGCTCGTAAAAATATTGAAATCAAAGAAATCAGCATTTTTTTGGCTGATGGGCACTTTTTTTCAAATTTTCTTTTATAGGCTCAACATCTTTTACGCCCATTCAAAAATACATTTTTGTGCAGATTTTACAGAAAAACATTGATTAAAGATAAAGGCACAAAAAATGTCAATTTTCAGTTTCCAAGGACTCTCAAGCTACGGAAGTAACCAAACTTTAGCAGCTATTTTCTCGTTAATTTTACATTTGAAACCAGGCGACCCTGACCTCCTTCAATTTCAAATATCTTGACTTGTACTCAAGATAAATGGTCATTTTTTTACCGATACCAAAACAACTGAACACACTTTAAGGTGATACCAAAAACTCCACATGCCCAAAAATTGACGAGCGCCTGATTCCCCCATGTCATGACACATATGTTGATTATTCCTTCTTCTTCACCTTGACAGAGAGTGGTTATGTTTGGATTTGGCACAACTTTTTACAAATGATTCAGCACGTAAAGCAAAGGTTTGTCATAAAAGACAAGATAGGACTATCATTGAGTAAAAGTACCAATGCAATTATATGTTGCAAAATAAAATGACTTGGTACAAATGCACCACTCATCTGCTTGTAAACTGAAGAAGCCAATAGAAACACATTTCACAAATACATAAAGCACATCAAGCAAATGTTCAAATATTGAGAGAAACCAAAATACATGTATGTACTAACATTAAGAGATACAATAGGATGTATTATTCATAATTTGAGAGAGGTAACATTTTACTGTATGTCACTTCAGAGATATGGAAACCACAAGTGCAAACAAAAAGCCTATACTGAGTGAGTTATTTAATGAAAACAGTCAAAGAAAGTCAAGAAAACTGACCAGAAATGACACGTCATAAGTGTTCAGTCCTCAAAAAGATTTAGTTATTAAAGGTCACCCTTTATTGTATTGTATGTATGCATGGTGAAATTAGTTATACGTAGTTGAAATACCACAGCCAGTGTCATTTTGAACAAGAATGGGTTCAGGAAACAGCAAGATATCTTGACTGAGCACGCCCCTAACATATAGTTTCCAGTCTGCTCAAGCATATGATACAACTCCTCAAAATAATAGTGATAAATTATCTTCCAATTTCAAATACGATCTTGCATATTCCATGCCTTCATAAAGCAAGAAAAGTTGTGTAAAAGCAAGAAGTTTAATATTGTACACTTTCTTTGTTTCAAGTTTTTTTTTTAAAGTTTCATATCATGTTTCTGTTAACAAAATCTTGCCATCAGAGAAGAACTGAGCAATTATATCTGTAGATGGCATTCATACGTTCTCAGAAAGTTGTGAAAAACTGAATATTCAAGATGTTCAAACAGGTCTTGGGGCTACAAGTAACTAGGAGTTTCAATTCTTTACAAAACCAAAGGAAGAGCATAGTCTGAAGGCCATGTTATAACTTTCACCAGCCAGAAATCAATCAGAACAACAACTGTGGTTGCAGAGTGAAACATTGAAGGCATTTTCAGCAGGAATGATTCAGATGATTACATTTGTTTGGATATCTTGAAACGGGAAGGGCCTAAAAGTCAAATCAACAACTAAAGTCAACAAAACAGTCGGCTGAAGTCAGGTCACATCACACATGACTTATGCAGGTGTGCATTCCATAAACAGGGATCAACACGCTATGCAGAACTTTCATTTACGTAGTTAATAATTAAGATTCTTCAAAAATTCATTTATACTCTAAATTGGTTTCCACATAAAACGCCTATCTTCTTTTAAAATGTTGGTTCCGTTGGCGAGTACCAATAAAATCTATTTCAAAGAAATCTAAAGATTTAAGTTTTTAAACTGTGAACAATTACTGATGAGAAAACAACAATAATGGGAGTACAAGAAGACGTAGGTGACTAAAAGAAGTACCCATGACATCTCCGACTATGTGGATGGTTTCAAGTCTGAACAGAGTTTAAGCTGGCTTTGACATTACAATATCTTTGAAGGAATGCTTTTGGCTTTAGCAGAAGAACCTGCAACCTCATAAAATTTATCTCAAGGTAATGTTGAAGCTTTCATCTCTTGTTAGTAGTAAACATTCTCAGAAACTTGTGACTGAAATATCAGTGTGTTTGCAAACAGACTGGCAGCTAGAAGCAGTATATTGTTAGTGTGTATAAAACAGAAGGTACCTCTTCATCTGTAGGCATATTTTCTGGCATCTATAAGGTGGGATGAAATATGGAAATGAAGTTCAAAGGAATGAGAGATGAATATCTTATCACAGAACAGTAAAAGTCATCCAGATAAAGGGTAAGAGTATGGGAATGACAATGTCAAAAGTCACATTAACATTGGCTTCAACACAATCCTATGTTACAAACATCAAGAAACAAATCAAATACATCAACTGAGGGATATCATGCATGTCTACATAATCTTTTTACCAGTCTTATATCGCCACAGGAAAAAACCACTTTGCTTCAAGCTCTGTATTCTAGTTGATGGATGACATGACAGACTAAAGGAAGTAAAGTTTAAAGAAAGCAAGAACCTAAAATACTTATTTCAGTCTTAATTGAGAGGTGTTTCCCTGTCTGTTTGAGCTATAGCGCTGCAACATCATAACAGTACGTTCACAGAAAAAGTCTACAACCCTCTCCCCTCAAAGACAGTAAAATTACGCTCACAAGACCTTATGCACTTGCGAGCACCGTAAAAACTCTAACAAACAAACTCAGAAGACAGGAAAGTTCAAAAGTCATTAAAAACATTTTTTATTTAAAGAACACTACCGCAGGATTTGAACTGAGCAGCAAAGCCTGCATTTATCAGCCCTATCCTGGGGGGGGGGGGGGGGGGGGGGGGCGGGGGGGGGAAGGTGAAACAGCTGATGTGTACAGCAAATGGCATATCAACATCACGCTTTCCAAAGGACTCGCAATGCTTTCCACATACATCAACGACACATCATCTTTCCAATTACACTCAAATTCTCACCTTGATGAGTTCAAAAGCAGCAAGAAGCTCCCCTCCCTCCTGCTCTTGTCGTACAATAGAGTACCACTGTAGCACCGGTGTACGGGCATCTGCCGGGTCCAGTTTCACCATAGGCTGAGCTTTGGTCCTTCCCAGGAACTCTGGTTTGCCCTGAGAAACAGACCAAAAAGCAAAAGCTGTAATCAATACAAAATATAGAGAAAAAGAATAAAACTATGAAGCTAGTTAGACCTTTGCTTTACTTTTGTAGCATGGAAATAACATGTAAAGAGTGGCCATACTCTACTCCAGCCCTGTTGTCATTCAAACATCCCTCAGACAAGTCAAAATGATTTTTTAAATGTTATTGGTATTTATTTCATTTACAATTTGTGCTGTTCTCACAGAAGGCTTTTCTGTAAAATGTGTATGTTTTATGAGATGTGAGCCAACGGCCGTAGCCTACCTACCTTCCTACCTTCAGACAAGTAGTCTCTTGGTGGATGATTGAAGTTATTTTCAAGTTCTCTTGCTGGTTCACTTTCGTCACTGTAACTCCTAACTACACCTTGTTTAGTTTGTTAAAACTTTACTGTCTTCAAAAATAATAAAGAAGCTTGTCCTAAGCTTAAAAGCACTGTCACTAAGAGAGAGGGTCACATAACCTCTGGCAAACAAAGCCATAGACTATTTTCATTGAAGAGGAAACTATGTATCATACTAGCACATAATGCATTGCAAACATCCTACACTTGTAAATACTTACTTTTCTAGCACCTATTGGATTATCAACTACACAACAACATTGTCCCTTTTCAAAATGAAAGTAAAGGGGCTTCAAAATCAAGTTTACTGAAATACATTTAAGGACTACAGCAACTCAGAAGCAATGAAATGAAATAATCTCATAAATGCCAAGCTCAGAATCTGTTCATGTCATATATTTGTGCAGCTGTTCAGAAAACTATTGCTGTGGTCATGTCGTGTACATAATGTTGTCAAATACTGCTTATGTCAAAAACAGTCAAACACAAAGTTCGATAACTCACAAATGTGTCATAGTCAAACAACTCCACATAGATCTCTGGTGGTGTGGTCTCTAAATTCCTTGGATCTCCATAAATGTCGACCTCGCCGAAGATGAGCGTTTGGTCCCAGGTCGGGCTGAGGGATTTCTTCACTGTCTCGGTCACCATGCTCTGGGTCATGAAGGAGACACGGGCAAACGGATCTGTGGATAATAAAATGCTCTCACTCTCAGTATTTCACATTGAGAAAAAGATAATAAAATGAACACGCGTAGAAACTTTGTTTATTATTGATAGCCTTTCATCCTGTTCCAATAATTAATGCTGGTGACTTATTTATTTCGATGGCAAAAATTCCCAAAACAATTTCTATACCCAGTGCAGACAAAGTAAACAAGAGAAGAAAAAGCTCAAAAATGATGTAGGTTTCATTACAACTCTTTTATCTGTGTTGGAGCATTTCCGAATTTTTATCAGTCTTGGGCCAGCTAAAGATAAATAGTCAAACATTGAAACAAGTAAGATGAATGGAGTAACCACTTATAAGAAATTACTGAAACTGAGAAATTTGAAACAAAAGCAGAGCAAAAAGAAGTGTGAGTAAAGCAGCAAACACTGGGGGAAATTGAAAACTTTCACTCTTCTCACCTGACAAGCCTGTGTCGTCCGCCGCCAAAACATCCCTGGCCTGGTACACATAAGCTCTCAGCTGATACTTGTGGGAGGCTGGAGGGGAATATTAAGACAGTGTGGTAAAATTCACAAGCTTGGTACTATATTTGAGTATTTGTAGGAGATTCATACTCTTGTCTATAGTCAGGCCTGCCAACCTTATCAACACCCAATGTTATAACACCAAATTACGTAACAACAAACAAAATTACATTAAGTGGGATTAGTTTTGGTGTACTGTACGTGATAAGGCTCTCAAATTCCAGGAAATTTGGGACATTTGTACAGTGCATACCTGCACTTTGTTCTCACACAGACACAAGAATTTGTACATGTATGTGTGTAAGGTTCCAGTACTGACCACTTAAAACCAAACCACTAAGATAATAATACAGTATAAAGTGTCAGAACCTATCTTAATATCTTTCATCCACAAAATCTAACCATCTCAAAGGCCATTGGCCTTTATGGGAAATTGTAGAACAAAATTGAATTGTACAAATTTTTTATGAAACTTATTTTAGATTGAAAATATACACAAAATTTTTAATATTTTAACGTTTTACGGTCAAATGACCCGTACCCAGCCGGGCAGTGAACTGCGAATTAAAAACTAACTTGTGTTTCGCACGCTCATATGACCTTATGCAGTTGCGAGCGCCATAAAACCCCATACTAAACTAACTAAACATCTCACTACTGTCTCCTTGTCAGTTAGGTCTAAACTAGTCAAATTTTGTTTTGAAAAGTGTCACATACGTATGACTTGAGTAATCTTCCATTCACAGTCTATATAAGAACAGCAACTTTCTTGTAGATGGAACAAAGTACCTTTTTGGTGTCTATGTGTTCTTACTGGTTTTATATGTTAATGTCTTTATGAGGGGGGGGGATTTGCAAGGGTGTCCAGAGGATAAGGATGAGAGAGAGAGAGAGAGAGAGAGAGAGAGAGAGAGAGAGAGAGAGAGAGAGAGAGAGAGAGAGAGAGAGAGAGAGAGAGAGAGAGAGAGAGAGAGAGAGAAACAGACAGACAGGCAGAAAGACACACAGACAGACACACAGACAGACAGACACAGACAGACAAAAAGGGAGAGAGAAGCACAGAAGATTTGTACGAAAGAACATTACTCCCTTTGAACATTACTCCCTTTCGTGCATAAGTTGTCATTCTTACATTTGTAGGTAAGGAACATTCTCGGAGCAGCCAGAGAGACTAGCTGTGCCGTCTCCTTGTCCTGGTCTTCCTTGCTCTGAAACAGAACCGTACAACAACATGACGTGACGCTTACAACAGTACAATACTAACCATCAGTTGGTCTTTTGTTCATTCTATAGATTATAAAGCGCACTGAGCGTGCCGTTGAGCGGGGGATATGTGCTGTACATATACTTTCTATTATTATTATTAATATCATCATCATTATTATTATTACTATTATCATTATAATTATCATCATCATTATTATTATTATTATCATCATTGTTATTACTATTATTGTCATTATCAATATCAATTTTACTATAATTACTATTATAATACTACTATTATTACTATCATTATTATCAACCCATGAGATGTCAGACTTCAAAACTGATATATAATTGCCTTTAGTACAGGTGAGAAATAATTCTTGTACAGCTCAAGCATGCCTAAGAGAATAAAATCTACATACTTCTGAGTAAAATATGCAGCGAATAATATTCAACATAATGAATATTAACGTAAATCAGCAACAGTAGACTTTAAAAATTAATGTTTAATCAATGAAACTTCAACAATGAAAGAAATCAAAACTAAAAAAAACACAAAATCATCACAGAGATGAGTAAATCTTCTTCAATCAGTAGAAAAATCAACTTTCTCAGTACCATGCAGCATTCAGAACAGCGCTTTATTCTTCTCCGTGAAACTTTCTCAAGCTTTTCAAGAACAAAAAAGACAAAAGAATACCTTTATTGAGGCAGTGGAAAAGTTTAAACTTCCCGGTCAACATGGACAATATGTATAGCAATACAATACCATTCCAGCAATTCTCTACTGTTAGTGTCATTGTAAAAAGCCAGTTCAGTAAAGAAGTGCCAAAAGAACTATGAAGTTTAAGATTCATATTAACCATATTAGTGACTTAAATCCTTTGTTTTCAAACAATTTGAATAACAGTGAGGTCCATTTACATCTATACATCAAATAACAAAATTTAAGATTTACATCTTACATTTCTTCACTTTTGTGTTATCTTTAAAAAAAAAAAATTTCCCCTTGTTATATTTGTTATACATTTTATTTTAGTATAGACAAGATCAAGGCATATCTCCTTTGTAAAATATTTTGATGCATTTAGATTATGTTCGGAAATGAACAGACAATAAATACATTACTGACAATTGAGTCAAATTACAACAGTGGACGGAACCATTTGACTACAGTCATATGAGAAAATAAGAATTTTTTGGCCTTACATAAAATTCTGCAGCTTTTACAAATAGAACCGGTTTCTTTTCTCCATTCAGCTGCTTCAACATCAAGTTTTGTTAAGACTTTCTAACATCCTAATAGATGTAAACATTTTATTTTGAAAGCTAAGTGTTTGTCTCAACGAATATAGTAAGATTTAAAAATAAGGAAAGGGAGAGCAGTAGATACCACACAAGACTACACACCAACCACGTGCGACAGAGCATAGGCTTACATATGTGCCACTGTACAAAAAGGAGGGACACATCTTACGCTCGTGTGTAGATGGCTTCCTCTACCCACTTCACTCCTTTTAAAGACACCCTGACACAACACAACAAATAAAAACAGAAAGGTGGTAGGGAGGATGAAGACAGCATTCATTGACTGATTGAGTAGGTGTTTTACAGCACTTTCGACTCAATTTTGGTCAGAGACAGCAATCACAAGCTTCAAAGGGACACATTACGTGAAAAAAAAAAAGCTTGGTCACTACATCCATGAAAGAAGCAACTGACCTCATGCTGGACGTTGAAGAAGCAAGAGCCATCGGTGCCCAGCGAGATCATCTTGCGATGCCAGCGACGACGACGGACCAGGTCCATGGTCCTCTCCTGGGCATGGAACTTCATGTTGAACAGGGGTGCGTACTCCCAGCCTTCTGTCTGCTTCTTCTTTCGCTCCTCCTGTGTTGTGGGGGGGGGACATGGGAAAAAGAATTAGATGAATTGAAGCAAAATTATGTTAATTTTAGTCTTAGAAAGAGTTTTACAGCACTTGCAAAACAATTAGAGGTCATATAGGAGTAGTTGATTAGAGGTGTTACAAGAGAGTGACAAACTAAGAAAGTAAGAGAGGTAAAGATGATAGGTGTTTGATAGAAAAGAACCGGTGCAAAGCACCTGCCAAATTTGGACAATGTTGATATAGATGAATAGAGCTTTTATAAGATTGAGAAAAGAGAAGAACCGTGACCAAAAAAAAAGCTGATTTGGAGTAAAAAGAAGCACGGAGACACAATAATGGTCATTAAGTGCAAAGAAACATATGGAAAGACAGATAGTGATAACAGAAAGAAAAAAGGTGGACCTAACTGCTGTACCGCCAACAAACCACCTCGTGTGGAAGTCAACAACTATTACATGAATCAAAGCAAAACACAATTAATGATAGCTGAACAAAACTGTTCGATGAAAAGAATACAGACACAAAAACAGTTCATAAGTGCAGGGAAAAAGTAAGACAGAGAGAAACAAAAGAGGGAAAGACAGAAATAGGACTTAGAAGTAAAGTACTAACACACATGTCCTTCAACCACCTAGAACAAAACTGTATCCATAATTAATTTGTTAAGATTAAGAAAAATAAGAAAGAAAGGGAATACAAAGAAAAGATATTAAACACTAAATAAGATACCAAACTGTTATCTCAGATTAAAGACAAGTCTGTTATTGGATTAAGCGTTACATATGAAAACGACACAAATAAAACAAAACCAAAAATAAAACAAAATATATAAACACATGCTGATACCTTTTTAAAAAGATTATTCATCAATTTTGTTACCAAAAACAAAAATGAAAAGTAATTTTTTTAAAACCCAACAAAACTATGTAAATTAAATATAATGAAAGCTTATTGATACATTTACAGCAATTTAATGCTGTGGGAAAGGCAAGATGGGAAACAGAAAAACAGACTGAAAGAAAGAAGCAAGACTAATCTAGTAAAAATTGGTAAATGTATGGGCTTCACGCCTCACCCCTTTCAATATTGTACAGTAAAGTTGTTTATAAAGAGGGTCCTTGGATAGGACTCAGCAAAGTGCGGGAGAGCCTTAAACAATAGAAATTCAAAAATATCCTGTGCAGGTATGAAACTGGGGTCAGCAGCATCATAGCTCAGAATGAACCCCACTGAACTAACAATGTAGGAAAATACTCCAACTATGAAAAGGCAGAGGACAATCAAAGAGAGAGGTTTAAGGTTTCGATGATGCTACAGACACAGGGGAGAAATCTATTCAGTGACTGATCCCTTTTATGAAAAGGAAAACAGTGTAACATTTTTGACTTGAGAAAAATCAAAATCTATTCTAGTTGACAAGGGAGAGCAGCCTTACTGTGTATAGTCAAATCATGCAGCAGTGCGGACACTTTACTTTCGTATGTCAAGCAGCATACATCCACACATATCAATTTTTCCTTGTTGAATCTACCGCAAAGCATGCATGACAACTGTCAAATTTTACTTAAGCAGTACATCAGGCATTCAGGACATATTTCTTATCTTTCTCACACAGCATGCTGAACATAGAACTGGACACTAAATCAAATACATTCATCTTTTTACCTATGCTGGTTACCCATACTAAACTTTGTCTTAAATACAAAGAAGGTGAGACATTAGTAAATTATGTATATTACAACGTAAATCCGAGGGATTAATATAACCCAGGGATGTGACTTCTCACAACACTTGTTCCAAGCACCTTTAAAATGGTAGGCTCGGCCAAAACTAGCAATAATTTCACTGAACACTCCAACTTTCTTCAAAACCAGAGTCAAAATTTTCACTAACAAGAGCTCTGAATGCCAGTTCTGTCAAATATCTTGCCTTTGCATGCAATGTTGCTAGTACGGGACAGCATGCTTTCAGTGTCCTGTTATGCTTATTCTTAACTTTGTGTGCCATAGTCTAGGACAAAGTAAACCAGCTGTAAAGACGTTTCTTTCGTTTGTCCCTTTTGGTACTTTGTCTCGCATACCTTCTTTATAAATAGGATCTTAAATTGTTCTTGTGCAGTCACAGACCTCACCTATTCAAAAATTCAGTAAAACTTACACTCACAAAAAAAGGCATGGTTGTAGAATTACTTTCATTAATGATAACCTTCGTTTAAATGTCATCAGCAGTAAGCATTTTTGATTGATTGTGTAAGAGAGAAAGCTCTTTATTGTAACAATATGACAAGAACAGAAGAGTGAAAAGCAGACTCCAAAGCAACAAGCTACCATGAAAATCTTAGTCTTTTGAGAGACCACATTCATCAGATAAAATGTACATTACAACTTTCACAGTTTCGGTCATTAGGTCAGCACAAAAAAGGTCCTAACAAGTTAGCACGGAACTGATTTGTAAGATTAGATTGGTATCTATCTAAGGCAGCAAACGCAGCAAGCCAGCAGCACTTACCATCATAAGATCCTAGTAGACAGAATCATGATACAACAATGTGTCAAACTGGGAAAACGGTCACATTGTTCTATATGCCATTATGAGTTATGGCAACAACCAATAAAGTGCTAATTCGCATTTATCCACTCAACCACAACATTCAGGTTACCTTGAATAATAACTTGAACTTTTTACCATACATACTGCAAAATCTGGACATTTTTATTCCACTAACTGAACTGAAACTATTGTTCCCACTTGCGTTTATTGACAATGAAAAGATAGGCAAAAATAAAAAGCTGAAGAAGGGTCTCAATATCTAATCACAATAAGAGAAAGATGTGTCCTCTGACTTAATTTTCTCTGTCCTGCACGATTTTAAACACCTGAACGACCACCCAGGGCCCAAAGGCAGGGTCAATAAATCACACAGGTTTACAAAGAACAGCTTTTCAATGAGAGACCCTTGTGGTGTTGAGAAAGACACGCTAACCCTGGCTGAAAAATGAACATTACGCTGACCAATTTACATCTGTACAGAGAGAGAAACATTATCTAAGAAATATCATGTACTAGTATGTGGTGCAATGTTGGACTGTAAAAATGCACGGAATATATAACGGTTTGTAAATAGATAAAACAGATCAAAAGTAGATGCTGGAGACTTTTTAGACCACAAAGGGACAATCCACAATTTTTACATACAAGAAAATGACTCTTAAATGGTATTTATCCCCAGTTTAGAAAGTAGTAAAAATCTGTTTTGCAGATATGGTACTTCTGTTTAATTTTCGCTATGAGAATCAATGACTCGACTCACCAGTCTCTCTTTTTTCTTTGCAGCTCCTTGCACAAATGTACGAGGCCTCAGCCACCGGCGTCGGCGACACAAGTGGTAAGTCTTCTCCACAGGCCCGTAGCCTCCCACCGTGGCCTCCACACAGTATTCCCAGCCTGAGGGAAGAGAAGATTTATGGAGTCAGTCTCAAAGGGCCTTACAAAGTAGGTAAAACGGTCACATATGTAAAAATTAGTTGCACTACAGGTTGAAAAACCAGCTGAGATCTAGTAGGGGAACTGGAAAAAGAAAAAAAAGGCGATGAAGAAGAGTCAATCTCAAAAGGAAATAATAGAGATAAAAACAAACTATAAAAATGAAAAAGAAAAAAAAAAAAACAGAAATTATGTCAAAAAACCTACTCAGTTATGTTGAAAAGAAAAGTGTTTTTTCACAAAAATGCTGAAGATAATATAAAAAGAAATTGAAATACGCTAGCAAAAACAATAAAAATGAGTTCATCTATATAGTGCCTAATCCTAATGAGCTGTATGCGACACATTTTTCTGAATCACAAAAAAACCATCCCCTCCCCCTCTCTCTCTCATTTTATGAATAAACATTCCAAGCAATGCAAAAAAACTAGGCCTCAAGGACAAATAAAACGTTTGTAACATTCCAGGCTCATGGAACTCGAAAGAGTCCAAGTTTTCTGATACTGTTTCACTTTGCTCACCTTCCTCGTCCACAGCACGGCCCAAATCAATCTGCCAGTCATCGTCCCACTTCCAGCCCTCAGGCAGGGGAACTGCTGCCCTTTCAGGGGCCTGGTCACCTTTCTGGAAACAGCAACAAAAAGGACAAGGTATTTTTATAACAGCAGGGTTATGCTAAGCTTGAGGTTTACCATATCGTATTTTACACATGGATGTACATTACTTTCTAGTGATTACTCTAATCTTCAGCACTCCTATGACGTAACTGTGTTAAAAGTGCAGCAAAATTCTCGCTAAACATAAAGGACATGATGTGAAAAAAATCCTGGAGTGGTAACTATGCTATTTGGGTTTACATTAAGTGGATGATTTGAGTTCTTCATGTACTCATCCTGAATATTATGCAGGGGAAAATGAGTCTGAATATACATGGAATTGGCAAGTTTGAATTCCAGCTATACTCCAGCAAAAAGAAAAAAACAAATACATATAAAAAATTGTGATGCTGCAAACCAAATGTATTTTACCAGATTTGCACTATTAAAAGGAACAAACTTTAGAACTCAGGAACAAATCTTCTTTACAGAGAAAGCTCCCATGTGTAATAGGATGGAAATGAAATTTTCTGTACATCTATATTTTAATTAATTACTGACCACATCTGCCCAAGGCCTTGAAGCCGGCCCCCAGCCCCCACCAGGGATGTTGCGAGAGTGGCACTCATAGATGTCCTCCAGGTATGTGTGGTGACCAGCGTCCTTGTCAAACAACATACTGAAGAATACAAACAAAACAAAAAAAAACCTACACTGAAGACAATTTTAAAAAACAACTAATGCTGATCGAGTACAAGTAGGAAAAATCTCAACTGATGACAGTTAACAAAAACAAAAACAATGCATATTGAAGACAGGTTATTAAAAAAAAATCATTCTGCACACAAGTTTTTAAAAAATTCAAATTGGGGACAGGAAAAACATCCCGTCTTTCATTTTTATATCTGTGTAGGTTTTAAACCTTACAATACACAGTGATCATTTACAAAGCGGATTCCTTGCTGAAGAGTTTTGAGAATCTATGTATTTGCTAGACTGAACATACAATTGACATACTGCCATAATGAAAGAAATCGAGAAAAAGCGAGCATAGGAAGTATGGAGCAAAGACGCTACTCCTACAACGGAGGGAAACAGGTGAAAGAAAGTGAAATCTTATCAACAGGGATTTGCATAACCCATTGGCGCGACTATGAACAATTATATCCCTTGACCCTCTAAGAGCCGCACGCTCTATAAAACCAAAGTCAACACAGCGAACAAAAATTCATGAACAGCACAAAAGATCTGAGGTCTATAAGCCTGACCTGAGCTCTGGGCTGATGTACCAGTCTCCCTCCCATGTCCAGCCAGGGGGTGGGGTGAACTCGTTCTTGTTCAGCTCAATCTGGGCAAAGGGCAAAAAAACACATGGAATTAACTATGTCTCAACAAGTCTCAATTCATGTGCTATTACATAAGAATATGGACCTAAATTGGAAAACTTTAAAAAAAGCATCTTCTTTTTGTTTCAGTTTGAACCTTTTTAAAAACCACTTTAAAAAATATAATCATATTAATTGTAAATAATCTCATCCCCCCCAAAAAATCAAAAAACAAAACAACAACAACAAAAAACAACAACAACACAACAACCTAAAACACAGAAAAATTACCTGTTCACACATTTGCATAAACACCAAGCTGTAACAAACGGACATGACTACTAACTTCTCAAATGATTATTTTCGCAAAGTGTTCAGGCACGTCACTGAATACTGAACCAGGAGAAACAAAGTTAAGAAAGTAAAGCTTATACGACTGCTACACAGAAATAGACAGCTACTACTCCCATAAGCAAATAGGCCTACAGTTAGTCAAAATTGTCTTTGATGACCACCCACTGTCAAGGAGTACAGTGGTCATCTTAGATATGTGGCTGTCTTACAGCGTGTCATTATAATGTATAAAAAACAATAACCCCAAAATGCAAAGACGGGAAATGGGAAGTGGTCTTTTGTACAGGCTATTGTCTCATACAGATGGCTGGTAGTGCTGGTTTGATCGTACTTCAAAATTTAATAGAAATACCACAGCTCTGGCAACACTGCCTGCCAGAGATAATTTTTATTAGCAAAATATCTGTATTAAGTATATAAAGTCATCACTTACTCTTCCTTCACTGTCTGAGAACTTGGGTCTTGTCATGGTGGGGCCCTTGTTGGTCCAAGTGCCCAAGATGTTTACTTGATTTTCATACTGGAATTAAACAGTGAGATTGCATAGAAAACACCAAAAAGAACAATTTCCCAGCACCAACCGACAAAAAAGTTATCATTCCCCTGTCCTTCTGTTCCACGCATTTTCCCCCAAGATGACTAGCAATGGCCTGCTGATTTCCATATTAATGTGATACTGTGTCCATGGAATGTCGACAAATTGTTCTCTGTAATTATTTATATCCAGTGCCCTGAGTAAGGCTCTGTCATACATCACTTTTCAAAACGACATTTGGCCGAATTTTATACTAAACAGTAAATATTTATAACTAAATTCTTCCCTAAAGGATGAGTAATAGTGAAATTCCAGTATTTTTTTTCTTTACTCTGACAGTTCAAATCTCATTATGACCACAGAGTCAGGGCGGTCTGTTAGCTCAGTCGGTATCATGCTGGACTATAGAATAGAAGGCCCTGGTTCAAATCCCAGACAGGGCATTCTTGAACTCTGGTCGTTTTGTGGAATTTTCAAGGCTCTCAACCCATTTGGCTTGGTCCTGTTGAAGACGGACGTTTAGCTCAAAGGTCCCGCTTCTCGAATTACCAAATTGTGTCAATAGGGGCGTTAAACCCATACACTTTTTACTCACAGTCTCCGCATAGACAGCCAGCTCTCCCTCAGTCTGCATGCGGTGCCAGGCGGACTCCTGGGTCTGTAGCCCAAGCCACAGCTTGACCCGCAGCACCGCCGGGATGTCAGCTTTCTTGTCCTTGTCCTTCACATGCGGGTACTGCGTACACACAAGTGATTGGATTGTTTTATTACATTCCCTCAAGCCCTCCCCCCCCTCCCCCCAACCACAACAAAATTTTAAGAACAAACTCATCACTCTCTCTCTCTCTTTCTCTGTCAATGATTTAATCCTGCTTTACATAGAGAAGCGAAGAATTGGGAGTTATTCATTTTTCCCACAAGAGCCATGGTGCATGATGCATGTTCAATTCTTAAGTTTTACTCTTTTTTCAATTCAAGGTGATTCAAGTTATTACTTTTGAACAAAGGGAGGCACATAGACACAATCATGGCCAAGTAATGCAAGAAAAGAGTAGGAAAGACAGAAAATAAACAGAGATGTAAGAGAAAAGAAGCAGAATCTACAGGTAGCTCTTTCCAACAAGTCACAAGGTAATTAAACAAACATGATCTCTAAATATACTTTCCCTTCCTTCTTTACATAATGTGGGTGGTTGGCGGATGTTCTGGTGTGGTTCTTTCCAATCAAACATCTCTTGTCCTTATCTCTCCTCCTTTTTTTGTATGTTACATCTATAGTCTTCAGCACTTTTATGACCTATTTCAATTTGTTTTGTAAGGGCTGTAAAACTCTTACCAAAGCTTAACTAAAACCTTACATAATCTAGGTTCGGATGAGATTCAAACTGAGGTCATCAGAATCATAGCTCAGTAGATTAGAAAGTAAATTAAGTACGAGTCCCAAAAGCTGTAACACACACTGCTAGGGACATCACTATCAATCTTGCATATCTCCCTGACATGTCGTATTCCTGACAACCATTTCATACTTTGCCCTGTTTTATGTCTCTCTCCCAGCTGTGGTGGTACTGGCTCCAATCCAATCTCTCACATCCTGGTAGGATCTACACTTAACTCTTCCCCTTCTTTTTTTCTCCTTCTTGCCTTCCTTTCATTACCATTTCAAGGAACTGTACAAGGAAATACAGCACATAATGTCTCACCCGCAAAGCCAGTGTCATGAGTTTGCCACAGCACGTTCCTCTGCTGTCTTCTTTGTCAGAGTAAAGAAGCTCATTGGCTGGGATGCGGAAATAAGCGATCCTCTTTTGGCCACTGATCATCCAGATGATAACATCTGGCATGCTGTTCTGGGGCTGTGGGTGGGGGGTTAGAAGGAATTATGGTCAATAAAATGTTGCAGCTGCAGTCATCCAGTCTGATGACACTTGAATGAAATATGTACGCAAACTAATAAGTAGTTAAACAATTGGCTGCTCTATACAAAACTGTCAGGAACATTTATTACATTTTAAAAGTCAAAATTATATCTTTGTACTGAAATCTTAAAATTTCTACATAGCAGAATTCCACTACATCTGTACCAGGATAAACTTATGCTGACATTAATCTGTAAAAAGAAAAAATAAGAACCTAGTTTTCATCCCAACCTCTTGAAATCAGAGATCCGAATTTGACCTGAGCACTCAAGTGACTTTATGCAGTTGTGAGTGTCATAAAACTTTTATCAAACTGAGCCTGACGATTTTTATATAAGTGCTTCTAAAAATTTGAAAAGTTTAAATCAGATTATGACCGGATGGTGTTACAAGTACCGTAAAACTAGTACTAAAAAACTAAAACCTGTCACATTTTTGTGTGGAGCGCTCCTTACCTCCTGAGCAACATTTCTCAAGATGGACGCATAGTTCTCCACTTCCACCAAGGCTTCCTCCAGATCTGTAGCATTCTCTCTGAGTGTTAACGCCGCGCTCTTGACGTGCTTCAGCGTATCCTTCCTCTCTAGCTCGGTCAACTGGTCAAGCTCATTGGTCACATGTTCGCCATCGCGGGCTGGAGACAAGGGTGACCTGTACAGAGTAACAAAATACTTTATTAGGGAAAAGTTTAGACTTTAATGCTCTTTTAAAAACAGAATTTAATCAATGTCCCTCCCCCATGGGACATGAGGAAGAGTCATTAAAAACTATGTTTACAACATAAGTTAAAAACGGCCTTCATGCAGACGTAAAACATGAGTTCTGTAACTGGTTAATCGAGAAGTATAAATTCTTTTCTTTAACCAGCAAGGAGAAGGAAAGAGAATTAATGGAATAATACACTCTTCTTCAAGTTTCAAAGAGTACAAAAAATATTGAAGATCATTTAGCCATCATATGCAATGACTTATTCTGCCTCGACCAACTACTCTTCCAATTTCGAAGCCACAATCTTAGTTGTACACCCAATGAGGACCATGTTCTAACATCTATGAAAGTTAAATCAGCCGAGCCTACTCTAACCTGTACAAATAACCACTTCTCACTTCCTCCCTCGAGTTTTTCCTATATCACAAAGACACTGTCCAAGATAACCACATGTCTAAGACAACTACTTTTCTCCTTGACAATGGGTGGTCGTCTTGGGACAGCTTCGAATACATATAAGCACCAATCTTTGAGTAAAGTAAAACACTAAGCACAACTATTATTCCAAGTAAGGCATTTGATTTGGTGCACATACCCGCAATCAGAGATCAGCTGATCCAATAGAGAGATGAGGAGTTGGGCTAGCTCTGGCACTGGGAGCTTTGCTTTGATACCAATCTGCACACGTTCCAGGTTCGCTTCCTGAGGATGAATGATAAATAGAACTCTCTTAGCTCTTAGTATATGGCACGCCAGTTTCGCTGGGGCACAGCATCGCTCAGTTGTTTACAGTCGTACAGTAATCCTAATGATACATTTATTAACTCCACTAAATCACCTTGGACCTTGAAGGACAACAAAAACAGACCTAATAATAGCCAACTCGACAGTTCAGTACAAGAATCTGTCGTACTTCACTTTTTAAAACAGCATATGGCAGAGTCTTACAATAAGCTGTCATTAAACTGCACCACAAGCCTATGGGGGCATCAAACATTTACAAATAATTATTTACAAAAAACTCACTAGTCTCTCGATAATGTTGAGCATGATGTTGAGGGACTCCAGCCTGAAGGAGATATCCTCCCAGGAGCAGTCGACCACCACGCAGGGCTTGGTGCCACCCCAGGGCAGGAAGTAGTAGTGGCAGCCGTCAAACACCGCGTTGGTGGGCTGGGTGGTGGAAGGTGATGGTGGCACGTTCTCATCCAGTTTGTTACCATAGTTACCTGTACACAAAAAGACCAAGTGTAAAAATGTTGAGGGGGAGAAGTCTCAACGGATTTTAGACAGCATGATACCAGGATAAGTGCTGCATTGACCAATTTCTAAAGCAAGTTACCTCCAACTTGGGAATGTGCTAGTACCTAGCTTGTAAGTGGGTGAAATACAGAGAAACCACATAAAACATCTTTAGTTTTAGAAAGAGTTTTATGGCAGTCGCAATACAGATGGGTTATACAAGTGGTGAAGATAAGAGGTGTTACTAGAGAGAAACATACCCAGAAAAGGAGGAGAAAATACTATGATAAATGTTTGACAGGAAAGACAGAGCAAACCACACCAGAGCATCCACCAACCACCCACTAAGCATCTTTCCCAAAGACATTACGTGGGCCACTGTAGACTAGGAGACCCCCCTCCCCCCCCCCTTCCCCCAAATAAAACTGACTTTTGGATCGTGAAGCAACCAAACTAAAACATCCATTAAACCACAAGGCAGGGCACAATCATGACTACATGTAAAACAACATTCCAAACATTCCTTGAGACAATGCGTAGTTCACATTGGCATGAACAATTGCATGGGTTTTTTTCCAGCATTTTGTCACTTACCCATGCTGACTTCAAATTCAATGGGAGCGTCCACGTGACTGGCACTGATCATACTGGCGTTGAGGAAGGCTGCATGGACACGGTACTTTCGCCGTCTCATGAATTTCTGTTAAAGATGCAAGATGACACACGAAACAAATTATATTATTTGCTTAAAGTCAAAATAAACAGTTGCAGCAAAAGGCATCATGAGATCAAATACAGAAAGAAGCAGATCCCTCCCCAAAAGTCTGTAAATTTTTTTTCGAAAATATTATATTATTTATGGAATAGAGTAAAACACAAAAATTTGAGAGATTTACTTACAGGAATACAACAGAGAAATACTGTACTCATCTTAAAAACTTAGAATAGATTTAATCAACTGCAGAGATAGCAACAGTCTCTTATAAACACAAAAATAAATTTACATATAGGAATGAAGTACAGTCGAACCTGCTCAGACAGCAACCTGTAAAAGACAACCATCTGTCCAAACAGCCACTTTCCATTTCCTCCTTTGCATAAAAACAAAAATAAAGGTACTGCCTAAGACAACAACCTGTCCAAAGCAGCTGTGACCACTATATTTCATTAACCAATAGCCCCAAGAACTTGTCAAAGATGGCCTGGCAAATCTGTGATTGCCTGACACATTGTGCCATAAATTATACATCGGCCCCTGGTGCTGTGGACGACCTGCCATAATTCATTCACCTGTCCTTATTGTTCCTCTATGAAAAGAAGAAAGCAATTATTGACCAGGACGTTGCAAAAGCAAGACTTCTGATATCCATCCCACTGTTTACCTAAGCTGATCAGTTGATAGCATTTTAATGAGAATTATGGCAGTCCTAAGCCTGCAAGCACCTCCAGTTGGGACCTCAGAATGGAATGTTTTGTTTTTCTTCATTTCAATCAGTCCTGCCTAACACGGCCACCTGTTAAGACTGCCACTTGTCTCCTCGACAATAGGTGGCTGTTGTAGACAACTTCAAAAGTATAATATCTTGCATGCTGAACAAGCACTAAATAAAAATATCTAGTAAAAATAAATAAAATACAGTCAAACCTTCTCTAATGGCCATCTGTATAAGACACTCATCTCTACAAACGGCCATTTCCCCTTCCCTCCCTTGCATATTTTCCCCACTATAATGACACACTTTAAGACATCCACCTGTTCAAAATGGCCACATTTTCCCTTGATAATGGGTGGCCCCCTAAGACAAATTCGACAGGCAGAACATGCAACTTTTATCTGAACTCAGTAACACAGACTCAAAAACAACAAACTATTCGACAACCACGAGACAAATTCCCAGACCTGGACTCTGAGACGGTCGTCTCCGCCAATCTCCTCTACAGCAGTCTCGGGCAGCTCGCCCAGGGTGGTGGTCAGTTGTATCAGGGCACGGCCTCTGTAAGCCACACCTTCTCCCTGTATTCAACAACAGAATTCAACTTAAGTTGCCAACTAATTTTGCTGCGTCAGTTCAGTGACATTCTTAAGTCAACAAACGGTAAGAAAATTTGAGGGGGACAAAACTTTTTATTTCATACTTTTTGAGGGGGTTAACGCCCTACTGGACATATGTTATTTCAGAGGGGGGGGGGGGGGAAGATATTACAAACTATATACACACACTCTCTCTCTCTCTCTCCCTCCCTCCCTCCCCCCCACACTCTGTGTGTGTGTGTGTGTGTGTGTGTGTGTGTGTGTTTGTGTTTGTGTGTGTGTGTGTGTGTGTGTGTGTGTGTGTGTGTGTGTGTGTGTGTGTGTGTCCCACACACATAAAGAGAGCGGAGATGGGAAAAGTATGTGCATGTAATTATACACAAACAACCATAACATCCACATCATAAGCTCCTACACACACATACACACTCACACACAAAAACACACACACTCACACACACACGCACTCTCTCTCTCTCTCTCTCTCTCACACACACACACACACACACACACACACACACACACACACACACACACACGCCTCACCTTGCCCAGATTAAGATCCTCATAATCATCGGGCAGGTCCGTGTACTCTCTGGTGGAGCCGTAAAAGTTGACATAGCACGGCCCAAACGTCGGCAGGAATCCTGAACACACATACAGACAGACAGACAGACAGATAAACAAACTATCAAAAGACAAATAATATGTATATTTCATTGTTTAAAATCATGCTGCCCTGTCAACTTCATCCCAAGTAGTGGATTCACATTTAAGTTGTCTTCTACTTGTTGGAAATAGACAAAGGTAAAGTAATCTACACTGTAACAAAATGTCAAACTAGCATCAATTGAAGTTCAGTCTATTAATATCTGTCCCCACATTTTAAAAAAATACAACAAAAAACTAGGTGTGTTAAGTAAACCAGCAAAACCAGCAAAACACACACAAATCCATTTACAGCTTAGGTTAATCTAGATCAATACCAAATCAAATAAATAATTTAGAAAAATACGTTTACACTCACTAACCTTTTTTTTCTTTTCTACTTCAATCACAATTATTGGAAACACTCCCTAAAAGCTGACCACTGTAAACATTCTACAATCAATAACTTTAACCACAAAATAAAGTTGTCACAACTTAATACACATCTGTTACATACACATACGAAAATTCAATTCCTGTATTTGAGCGGCAATATTTCCTAACAATGTAAGATTAACCACAAGAAATCTTTCACGTCAATCGTAACCACGTCAGAATGCAAAAGGAACTCAAAGAAATACCAAACAAAGTTGGAATGTTTTTGAACTTTCTGGGGTACAGCAGACCAACAAATATAATATTATTGGAAAGAGAGAGGGGGTTGGGGGGTCAGGGGCCTGAGGTGAAAAGTGTGGCCAACAAGGTTGCAGGTAATAACTACATAGGTCAAATATTCAAATACCAAGTGCGAAGTGGGTGGGCGTGGGGGGATGGGAGAAGAGGGATAGGGTACATCAGGAGAAAGAATGAGAAGGGTGGGTTGCAGATAATGATGCAAAATACATGTATGCCCGGACGTCAACTCACAGTTGTACTGTAAACAGAAGACTAGCCTACAGTACTGTCAGTGGTATCAAGAGGGAATTGCTGAACACTCAACTTACTGTACTTACACGCGCTATATCAATATCAGACATTTTTGTTATTATTATTATTATTATTTTATTATTATTATAATTATTATTATCATCATTGTCATTATCATTAATAATAATAATATCATCATCACTAGTGTTCAGTTACTTGTACTCCTATGTTACATCTGACAAGCGTACACCCTCCTGCCCCCAAGCACTACCGGTATATCATATAAGCTCTGTTTCCAGTGCGGCGTGTTTCATGCGGCTATGACGGACGGTTGTCTTCGCCGTGGCGTCAATTTTACTTACGGGCCCTTTACATACACAGTTGGGTTTTTTTTACCCGCTGCCCGTCCGTCCTTTGGGCCACCTCAGACCTGTCAGCGCGTAAATGTGATGCCTTACAAAAGACACATGGCTGCCCGCCGGCCCTGACGTCATCCGGCTGATATAGGATCTGGAGACCCCAAGTATTTTGCGCGTGGGCCGCGGTGGCAACGAGCCTGCGCCGTGGTTCTATTGAAGTTTCTCGAGACTGTTTTAAAATATCATGACAACATTTTTCTTACATGATATTGGTCAAAGCCTTTTTTTTTTAAATCCCAGGGCTATAAGGCCTATTCCATATTTGTGCACTGAGGATTCCAACGTCAATTAACGACGACAATGGCATCGGCGGGCCTATCACCCAAACAGTCTCAGACAGGGACTTCTCTCTCCAATCTTTTGTCTTCTTACTAAAATAATATATACTTAGTACCAAAAAGGAGAAACGACAGGAAAAGGGACGGAGTACATATCGGCCAAATCCATCTCATGTCGTTCACAAGATTAGTAGTACGTTGCCAGATAAAGAAGCCAATAGTTCCCTGTAATTCAGTAAGAACTTCGAGCCCCAAAACACAGCAAATCTATCATTACGGGTACTGACGCTGGACTGGTGTCGTTGTCGTAGTACACTGAACACGACCGAGCGTTTCTAAAGACGCACTCGACGAAAGAAAGCCCAGAGTCAGGTAGAGGTGGAGCGCAGCTGCGAGCCGTACGACCGGAAACAAAGCTTCATCACAGCATGCATATCAGAGTGTAGTCATTTTCCTTGACTAGACCTAACACCCCTGTAATTATGGCTACATGCACGGCAATTGGTTGTGTTAGATGTTCTCTTGTGCCTATAATGCATCACTCCGAAACACAAAACCAAACGGACACCGCACAGGTGTGTCCTCTGCTGTTTAAACCCAAACGTGCAACAACAATTACCTCGTCCAATATAGTCTACAAAACAAGACGACATTATATCATCAGTACTTACAAAATAGTACATTTGATGACTAAATACTCTCAAGACCTATACGCTACCAACCACAACCCTCAATACGCAATAACCAGCAACAACTAGAAAACACGAGACAGCAATTTTTAAGCCGCATAGACTAGAACTGTCTCTACAGACAAGCATTCATAAAACGTATATACAAAGCAATTTGTGGAACATTTTTCGAGTAAATTGAAAAACGAATCACGTCTATCATTCCTAGCCACGAAATAATCTAGCACATCTAAAACAAGCTACGCTCAAATTACAGAAATGTAAAATACAGATTAATAATTCGTAATATTCAGTACATAATATTCAAGTTTAACCTTTCAAACGAATTACGAACGAACACGAACTGCGACAACATTACCAATTTCCTCACTATCAGCCTCTGAGGTGTCAAAGTAAAAAAGCATCGAGTCAAGAACAAGCACATATAAACAGAAGCAAACACCTCCACAACCAATAGCTATAAGCACTAGTACCAACATCCCGTGCGCACATGCATTGCCGTCACCAGCCCAAGCCACAAATAATACAGACTCAAAAGAAAACTACTGTCAGGAACACATTCCGTTTTATTAATCATATTTCCCTTTGCTAAACTCTTTGTTTGGAGAAACTGAGCAACGATAGTATGATAAATACCGAGAAGTCCATTTAATTTTTTGCAACAAAGCAAGCGACAATGCGGTGAAGCAGACAGACAGCGCAGAATAAAGCAACAGCTTAATGGGACCACAATAGCTACAATAAGTATTCTTGGCACGAAATAAAAAATCCCTGTTTCTTCTTTGTGACAAATAAACGAAGAGGACGAAAAGTACGAGAGTAAAACGCAGTGACAAAAATAAATCAGGAAAATTTCTTTTGATGTGAAAAAAGAATAAATAATAATTTTTTAAAAATAATTTACAAAATTATTGGTATTTCAGTTGCAAGATTATAGTGAACAAATCAGAAAAAAAAACTACAAAGACAAACTGGCCACCCATATATAATATAATACATGGGTAATATAGACAAGATGAAAACACAGCATGTCACAACAGACACGACGTGAAGGCGTGGCGCACCGGGACGCTCAGCAGTGACCAGGCGGAGGGAACAGCAACCGGCCTCCTAGAACACTAGGTACTCTACAACGTCGATACAGACAATACATGGCGGGGTCAAAACAAAAAAAAGGAGAAAACAGGACAATGTGTAAAGAAAAAAACCACCCACGGATAACATGGAAACATTTATTTATTCTTATTCTCAATTTTCAATCTCGTCACCACCCTCCCCTTTAAAATAATTTTAAAAAACCGACATTAGTCTATGTAATTGCACTTCTCGTTTTCAAAAAAATTACAGTCTTCACTTCATTAAGGCCCATCTGTCACAGAAAAAAGAAAAGAAAAGGGGAAAACACTAATTTTTCTTTTTAGTGTGCAGGAAAGAGATAAAAGACCCAATACTTATAATATCTACACTTAAAACCAACTTTAACAGAGAACTTTCATCGTTAATGAAGAAAAGACTACAACAGTTGTGAGTCGTCGGGAAGTCTCAGATTCGCTTAACGCTTTCGATCCGTATACATTAACACAGCACTAGGAAAATATATTACATTTCTCTTGGGTTTTTTTCTCCGGTTTCTGACACAAACATCATCCTTTTTTCGCCTGACCTAATTTGAAAGAACATCTACAGCTAATTGCGCAATTGTATGAGTTTGAAAGAACTTCTGCAACTATTTGTAAATTCGTTGGAAATAACTACAATACATTACAATTGGACATTCAACTTTTTGGGGATTTATCGAGACGGAGAAGTATATATCCCCACAACACCCCCCCCCCCCCCTTTAAAAAACACCCACTACCCTCCCGTCTGCAAAGTGAGGTCACTGCTAAGCACCCGGGCCCATGCCACCTGCTGACACTGTGACAAAGACGAGAGTAGTCACCCTTTTCTCCGCTAGACGATATGATGGAGATGGGCTGGAACAAGGTGCCCACATAGTCGTCAGGGTTCAGCCGGTCCCTGCACGCAGAAGCAACAGAAGGAACAACACAAGCATCAGGGCAACCGTTCGGCTACCGGGTTATGGGGGCTACATTCTACTAGGTCCACAGAATACTTTCAAGACAGAATGCACAAGGCGCTATCAAAGGCTCGTGTGACGTCATGGATTCTGTTCCGATGCCGCCATATTATGAACCCAAACCCCATCAGATCGTATCAATGATGTGATGCGCGACACAATTCTTTGATGAAAATAAAACTTTAATACCCCGATTGGAACAGTTGCTTGTTTAAAAAAAAGCACCAAAAAAACAAAAAACCAGAAACCACGTAATCAATAACTTATTTCACTACCATACCAAAAGAGAGACGCAACTCCACTGCTGGCAAGATGCCACACACCACAACATTCTGAAAAGAAGGAGTGGCATCTCTTCTTCGGAGTTACACCTACTACATTTCCTCAAAACATTCATGAAGTAAGACGATAGCTAAGTCGACTTTTGAGCAAAGCTCATTTTAAAAAGAATTTTCTAATATTTCAACCCGGAATGCCAAGATGCATGCCTTACTCAAAGGAGGCCTGGTTTTTACCGGAACACACCGAATCAGCGAATGTGCATTTTGGCTTATTGATATCTTGGAGGTATGTTACAGCTGCTATGTAGTACTGAATCTGCATGGACAAATACTGTTCGCTATGGTTAGGCTTCTATCTAAAAACGGAAGGGAAAACAACATGAACTATAAGAAATTTGAAAATATAAATTATAAACGAAAGCAATAAAATAAAATGAGAAAGATCGAGACCAAAAACAAAAACACGATGACTTAAATTAGAAAACACGCTTAAAGCAAAAACACAGCTATCATTGCGAAGACCCCCTTCCTCTTTTAAACAAATCTCCTATCATTTCTTTCTCTTTTTATGAATACAACACCCCGCCCCCTCTGCCCCTTTCTTCCAGTATGCCTCATGTTCCAAGACAACTGACAAAACTTAGTGCATGTCGAACTTGACCGTACAAGCAGTGTAGTGCTATTAAGTAAGAAAGTACACTGTCGAAATACGATCTATTTCAACTTTGAAAATTGAGAGAAACGATGAACGATAGCACTGGATCTTTGTCAAAGTTCTGTTTCAGAGATTCTTGTGTAAACTCAAGATGTCAATGTTACAGCACCTGTTGTACTGGTCAGACAAACCATAACTATAATTATAATGTCCGCATAACTTACAAAAAGTGTACTGGTAAGTTAAAAACATGATTAAAATCATATGCTAAGAGACGCAAATAGTACAAATTCTGTTTATATATATGACCATTCACGTACTGTTGACAAAGAGACAAAGCGAAAAGAAGGGAATTGTTCTTCATCATTTTTTAGAGGGGAAAAAATTAATGTCCACAGCATCACAGCCAAGGGATATAATATAGTAATTTGTCATTTCTAGGATAAAAAAGCCTTTGTTGATAGCTACAACGTTAAAGAAGTCTCTCAAAGGTCAATGATTAAAATTGTATACGTTCGAATCCTATCGATTTCAACCTATAAGAGAGCTGATATAAATCGATGCACGCGATAGGTAGAAGAAATATTTACGTGCGAGTTTGAGGGAAAAGTGTCATTTCTACCTTACAAAGCCTTGGTTGTACCAACCTTAAACAGACGTCACTCAAAAGTCAATGATTAAGATTGTATAAATCCTAATCCTATCGATGTCAGTGTACAAGTAAGCTGATGTAAATCGATGTACGCGATGAGTAGAGCAAATGGTTACGCACGAACTTGAGTGAAAAGAAGAACAAAACATCTTTAGTTATAGCAAGCATCAGGCAAGTTACATTCCGAATTTGCGAATGGCCGGAGGGCGCCACAGAGTGAAAGGTCCTATTTCTTTTTTTACCCTCCGTTGTTTCTGTGAATCTGCCTTGCTTCTTCTTTGCATTAAATGACCGTCACTGTGTCAATGTGCTTCTCTTTACTTTAACTCCAAATAAAACTGATTCAGAATTTTGAGTTCCATAAGGCACAGTGTACTCTCGAGCAAGTAGTTAAAGGAGGTCTTTTATTGATTAAAAAAAACCCCACTAAAAAACCATTGTCATGAAACTCCTTCCACACCATACGCCCAAGTTTAAAAATTGTGCGTTCCAATATCATATCTCGCTGTTTCAGTTAAAAACAAGAGAAGTGCGTAGAACCTTGATAGAGATTCGTTTTAAAAGGAAAAATGATAAGGAGTACTACAAACGACAAACATAAAAATCTATCTGAAAATATCTCCAATGTCACCTAACCTTACTTCTTATTTAAGAGACAACCACCAACAGAAATGATGAAAAAAAGGCACAATTGACGGTAACAAAAGCAGCAGTAGAACACTATTGTCTAATTCATATTTACATTTTCCAACAAAACATTTTCTTTTGAAAAATACAACGAAAATATGAAACAAAAATGATGGCTGGACACAATGGAAATTGGTTAATACAAAGTCTGATGAGTGAAAAAAAAAGTGAAGCCTAATGTTTTAGGCAGCAAAGATGCATTTTATACAAGGAAAAATAACCAAAAGTATTAGCTTACAGGAATGGGTGAAATTTTTGCTAAGCGTGAGATCGATGCGTGAGTGAGCGGCGCTTTAAAAGTGTGTCGTATGACAGAAAGTCGACAGAGTTCATTAGAGAAAAAGAGTACATTCCATCAATGTTATTTTAATATCTAGATAAAACTAGATCATAAATCCTTTCTGTTCGGGTGCTATTGAAGAGACATTCGTAAGCAAGAGTGTCTGCTAAGCTAAAAGAGCTTGTTTGTGTGTGTGTTTGGGGGGGGGGGGTGTCTTTGTTTATTGCAGTGTGCTGCTATTCTGCTTTCGTTACTTTCCAGTTGTGGAAGTAAAACATACAATTTAAAAGGCAAACTAATAATTATTATAATTGGACCCTGGTCAGGAAACCAAGCCAGACAGAAATATTTCAGGAATTACGACGGCATCCACAGAGCTAATTGGAGACTAACAGAGAGTTTTTTAAAACAGAGAGCTGCTGAAAATATAATTCTCTGAGAACAACACCAACCATTGCTTTCGTCATCATTACTCAACCGGTAAACTGTACACTAATAAGTTTGTTGTTGTGTTTGCTTTTTTTCATTTACACTGCATCCTGTAAAATGGGTCAACGCTCCAAAGTTCAGTCAGCGATCACAAATATAAATTTGCATACACATCAAAAACTGTACTAACACCTGTTACACACCCTGGTCTCGCTAGAGAAAAGCAAACTGTCAGGCGCTTTGCTTTTTTAAGTTTTTGTAAGTGTTTTACGTCACTTGCAACACTATAATAAGGTCATATAAGTGACGAATATTAGAGATGCTACAAGAGAGTAACGAACACACACAAGAAAGAGGAGAGGTACAGACCATAGACGTTTGGTAGGAATGAAGGAGCAGACAACACCCCAGAGCACCTGTCAACCACCCACGCTTGGTTTTTTGCCCGACATATCAATAACTCATTTCAAGACACTCGTAAACTATACGAAACATTTTTTGCTAGTTCGTTTATTTTTTCAGTTGATGGGAAAAAAGATGATTGAGATAAAACATCATTTTTATCCTCCTCTTTTGAAATTCAATACCATTTTGGTTACAGCTGCGAAAACAAGGAAAAGACTTCCGAGGAAAAAAACCCACATCTTTGACATCACTGGACGCATCTAAATAAATCGATATTCTTTTAAACTATGAAATGTGTCGGTGTAATACTGCAATGATTTAAAGTTTTCGATATTAATTTCATTCTTCAGCACAATATTGTCTGAAATAACAAAGTGCAGCTCCAAGAAAACGAATTAGCGTTGTCACCACTGTCACTGTCGTCTTCGTCCGACTTGTTGATACTCAACAAAAGGCTATTCATCGAGAAGCCTTCTATTGCCGCGTTATATTGTTCCAGAGAAGCCTTCTAAAAGATTATTTAATACTAAACTTTGCGCGCTCATATGACCTTATGTAGTTGTGAACGACGTAAAACTCTTACAACACTAAACTATTTCTAAAATTATACGAAACTCTCAGTCAGCTTCATCTCATTGTCTTTGCTCTTTTAAAAAAACTAAAAAACCAATGAACATCAACTTTATGGCATTCCCGATAAGACAGCATAGTGCAGTCTCTCCTACATCATTTGCATATTTATTGCTGCGTTTACTTTTTATTGAACAATTTATTTAATTAATTATCTAATTTATCGTTTTAATTTTCGAGTAATTATTCATTTATCCTTGTATCTCTTTTCCTTTTTTTCGGAAAGGG